ATAGAGGGCCGAAAAAGATACAAAGAGCTTTTTTTATAGCCCGAAAACCATATTTAAAATATTTTTATTGTAAAAAGCAATGTTCTTTTTCAGGAAATCCTGCCCGGAGAAAATCCACTGGGCAACGTCATCCCGGCCGTTGCCGAAGCTTTATATTCCGGAGACGTGCCAGGAACTCTATATACCACCCTCCTGTTGGGGGCAGCAGTTGGTCATCGACTTGACCGACGCGACGGGGCTGAATAAATGGTAGGGGTTTTGAAAATCTGATTTACAAAATAAATTTTCGGGCGGTTTGCGTTTAAAGGGGCTCGGAAGTCAGAGTTCGTGCTTGAGGGGGATTGAACATACTGGTCAAAAAACGAAAGCGTGAGTACCGAGAAGCACCAGAAAATTGAGTTAGTTTCGAAATTACGAAACAATAATTATCAAAATTCGATGAAGATTACAGAAATAGCGTCAGAATTTTGACATTCACGCGTTTGCACGTCTAAATGAACACGCGGCGCGGTCGCGTTGCGGTCGCATCGGGCTATTTGCCAGGAAACAACGCAGGGGACTATGGTCCAGATTTCGGAGCCTCTTTAAGCAAACTATCGCGAGAAAATAACTTTTTGAATTGCAGCTTCGCAGACGATAGTGAGCTCCTGGATGACATGGGTGCGCAATTGGTGGTCGTGAGTTTTCTAGCCAGAGTTTAGGGCCTAAATCGCCTGTTTCGAACCATTCCTTGCAAATGCAACTATTTTTTTCTGTTCTCACTTACTTTTGCTAAAAAATGCGAGTCAGTGGTGCTTGGACACGCCCCGAATAAGAACCGGAAACTTAACCAAATCCTCAGATTTGAGCGCGGATCTGATTTGAACCTAGCCAAAAATCGATTTCGGCGAAAAGTCTATTTTTTACATTTTTTAATAAATTTTGTAGAGTGTTCACGTATAGCCAAAAATTATTTAGAAACACTTCCACTATTTCGACACTTTACAAATTTAGATCCCCAAAAAATTTGGTTTCCCCGATAACGCGAAAGAAGCGGATATTTAAATTTCAGACGGCACTGAATAAGCTGCGTCGCTGCCTGTACATGGGCGCTGAAGAAGCTGTCGAGGATCTGCGCCGCCTCCTTCCCCAGCCATGGGAAATCGAAGAAACCCTGCGGCGATACACATTCAGGAGGGGCCCACTCGTATTTTTGATCGAAAAACCGCACAATTTCTCGAAGGAGGAAGAGGCCAAATATTAGAAATGATTCATCAATCGATGAAAAATTTATAATATCAAATTGATTTTTGCAGTATGATAAACTTTCTTGTGTTCCTCGTATGTTTGACATGATACAATTCTCATTGTTATTTTACAATTCTTATCGCCGGCCAAATTTTCAGGGCCTAATTTTTTCAGGGTCTTTTGCATTGTCTCGAATTCTGACCATGTAGATATATCTCGAAATCTCATATTGCGCGCTTAAAAGATAGAAAACACAAATAAGGAAAAATGAGAAAAAGGTCGTTAAAAAGGCAATCTTCGACTTTCGACAACTCCCAAAAGTGCAAAAAGCCTACGACACTCGGGATTCCCAAGCCGTCTCCGATCCAAGTACTAACCGAGCCCAACGTTGCTTAACTTGGCAGATCGGACGGGATGCCGTGCTTTCAACGTGGTATGGTCGTAGGCGAGGTTGGGAGGGGAGGAGGGGGTTTTGTGATAGGGTAAGGAGGCAGTGTGGGTGAGGGTGAGAGGGAATCGACAGAAAAGGTAGAGAGACCGGAATTTGTGTAGAGATCGCTAGACAACGAGGGGAATCGCTGACTGTATGCTTGCCTTGCTAGGATACATAGCTTACATTTCTATAATTGATATCGCCCCTCCTCCATCCAGAGCTTCAGTTTAATTACCCAAGGTGGAAGCTAGCATTGACCCCGAGATCTCTACAAAAACGGGTGTTTTGCAAAATTATGGAACGCGTTCACTCACGAGGGCTCACCCATGGATTGAATGGCTTCATAGCCCCTTTAATAAATGTTAAATTAACTTTTTGAAGTTGTATTCTCCGCGTAGCTGATGGTGTTAGTGGCGGTCAGCCACATTTTGTATGCTCTGAATGAGACCTGGATCGGTTTCATCGCGCTGTTTTTGCAGTTTTTTTGAAAATTCGCCGATGATTTGATGATCTTGGTCATCTTGATGATGATTGATGCTGGTTCTGATTTTGCGAGAAAGGGCTGATTGAGATGGGCCGGGATACTCCGAAAAAGGCGTTTTATTGGAGGTGCTCAAGGTGAAAGTGGAGTCCCAGAAAGCAACCTGTCATCATTTTAATGCAGAAAATATTGGCGTTGTTTATTTTAGTGGTAACTTTCCTGCAAGGGACAGGTAATTTTTCACACAGCTCTTTGCTATTTCAGCTTTTCAGCCCAAAGCCCGGAAAATGTCAGCAGATTCAACCCGGACCGTACACCGGTACCACCAAATCACTTATATATAAATTTCTAATGTCCGTGCGCCCGTCCGCCCGTCCGTCCGACCGGATCGCTGCGGGACCCCCAGGACCGGTTCGGACGGGTCCGGGAGCCCGGGGCGTTTCGGGATTTCGGTGTATGGGATGTTGATTTATTACTATTTATTACTATTTATTATTATTACTATTTTAAAATGTTTTTCCCTTTTCCCCCCGGGAGGGCCAGCGCTGAACCCCCGCGGAGCGGGGGGTCAGCGCTGGTCAAGGTATAAAATTTGATATTTTTTGCCCATCCGAATTCGGACCAATGATAATTTGAAGCAGTGCATCATCCTCACGGCTGGATACCGTATATCAAATGGTCTAATGAAGAACTGAGGAGATTATTCGAAAGTTTGGATAGTGATGGAGATCGTCAAATTGATGCTTTCGAGGCTTCGCAGGTAATTTAAAGCGGTGAAGACACCACCTAAGCCCGAAAAATAACCTCTGCCAGCCTGCCAAATTTCCGTAATCTAAAATTATTTTGATTGATTTTGGTAGTTTAAAACGACAGCTTAATTTTCAGGAGCTCGGCAAACGCGCCCTGATGATGAATGCTGAAGATATTTGGACCCAAAAATTTCTGCCAGCCGATGCTAACAAAAACCAGAAAATTAGCCGGAGCGAATTTTTCGAAATCGGAGAATTTTTGAAGGACCCTGAGGATCCGTGAAGCAACCTAATTTTGATCAAAATTGGTCCGGATCGATTCTTAATTACAAACTACAATGGTCACGATCCGATAGAACGCAGTTGAATGGCGAGGGGTTTTTTGGGCCAACCTGGAAATCTTGCCTTGTTGTGCTTTCGACCGGTTGCAATCTTCCTGGAACGAAAATCCCGAGGCAAAAACAGCGCAAAATTGTGCGCTTTCCCGGAACTGTTTTCTCACAAAGGGAAATCGAAAGGGTTCTCCGGCAGCACGATGAATTTGAAGATCCTGATCTATTCACTGCTAGTTATAGCTTTTCCGTGTTCAGGTCAGCGACCTGATTTGGTCCAAAATTGAGCTTTAGTTTTTTCCACGCCGAAACCGAGAGCTTCAGTAAAAAAGGCCAGCGGAAGCGGAGAACCGGGAGACATGGTAAGCACCTTCACATTGCGTTAAAATATTGACATTTGCGAGTGACTACCATCCCATTTTGGATCAATCAAAATTAAACAATTCAGACAAAATCGCCTTCAAAATTTAAAACTTTAGAATCGGAGCTTTGCCAGGTCGCCTACGGATATCACGGCACATCATTGGGTGGTACTACGAGATGGGACATCAGCCTCCAGTATCCACGAAAACTCGAGCATGACAGGCTTGGGCAGGAAGAAGTCCGGAAATTCCTAGCTTTCTTGGAAGAAAACGAACGTATGATGCAGACAAAATAGTCTTTGAAACCCTTTCACTATGCTGAGATACTGATATCTAAAACAGAGGCAAGCAATAAATGCACTTACTCCTATTCCAAATCACAAATGTCATAACGAAGATTGGACCCACCATTGACTAATGGATAAATTGACCACCGGATCCTCCGAAATCATCAAAAAATCGGATCCCATTCTCAAGAGAGACAAGCGACCAGAAAAATAACGCGAGATCAAATTGAACAACGCTCACTGCACCGGCTATAAAATTATCAGAACCAGACCGTCCAATTTCGCACTATAATCCTTAAGGAACTGGTAATATTCTACGCTGTATTTGTCCTGTCGATATACGCAGGTTGGTCGCACATTTAAGCACCAAAACCTGGAGTTTTGGAAACGCTACGCGAGCAATTCGAAGAATTCGACGCAAACCGTGACGGCTTCATCACCGTTGGTGAAATGCAGCAGGTAAGCGTAGGCATTTACACTATCGACATTAAACTATACATTTTAAACTACCGTTCCGGATGGAAGGCTTGATTGGGACGAGTACCAGAAATTGGGGCCCTAAAAATTGCTAATAAAATGCAGAATATAGTCAGACTTCCCGAAAGGCTCTCAAAATTCCTTTATTCGAGCTAGAAATACAGACAAGTTCGAAAATGCGCGGCCAACAAAAACACATCCAAATAAATACAGCCGAAGCGATCAAATGCCGATACCAGGAAGGAGATGAAAAGCTGGAAAATGACAACACGGAAAAGAAGGATCACAGGTTTTTCGCAAGCGAATTGCACAAAAAGCCATATCAAATTTGGGGGAGAGTTTGGTGTGTGCGCGTAACTTGGCAATTGGCGCATCGTCTGAAACTGAAAAAGAACGGCAAGCAAATATACACAAAAAACTGTATACAATTTGGGGGGCGTAGTTTTGTATATTAGGGTACACAACATTCACAAGGCGAGGGAGATTCCGGGGGGTAAGTGTATGGCGAATCAAAAAAAAGCAGCACATTGCAGGATATTAAAAAAAGGGTTTCGATATGAAACGGGTCTAGTCCAGAAAAAACGGCTAACACGGGAGAGCTAACACGGCTATACAATGAAATTCAAGTTGAGGTGGTGGGCGGGATTTTCTAGCGCGTGAAGATCGCCTCGGCGGCCGCGTTCAGGTCCCACGCCTTTGCCTCGAGCGCGCTGACGGCGATGGCGTGGTCGGTGGCGATGCCCGCGTCGACGAGATGTTCTACCTGAAATTGGGATTTTTAATCTATTTACTTAGGTCAGAAATTGAAAACTGGACAGTTGCAGTCTTAACAAGTTCTAACAGTTCTGATAAGTCTAACAAATGCGCTGATAGCCACAAAATATCAATCTGCAACGAAGTTGAAAAGTTGGAAGTTGGAAGGCTAAATGAATATTGAAAGCCCCCAAGCCAGGCGCAGCCTACGCCTAACCTAAGCCAGCTTAAGAAACTCAAGCCTAAGCGTAAGCTAGACCTCGCTAAGCCAAGTCTAGCCTAGGCCCAAAATAGACTTCCACGCCAATTTAAATGAGAAAGTGAAAACGTAAATTCAGTTTGCATGCCAAAAAGAACTTGAAAAAATCACCTGCCGCCCCATAAATAACAACAGCCGTCAAAGTAAAACATACGCTAATTTGAATGAGAAAATGAGAATAAGAATTTCAATTTCCGCTCCGAAAATCCCGAAAACCCAGTTGAAAAGTGGCTCCAGAATACAAACCTTCAACTTTTTCAGCGCCTTCTCCACGTCACCGCCGCATTCGGCCACCTTCCGGTCGCAGTTGCCGCGCTCGGTGAACGACGCCTCCTTGTAGAGGATCTCCATCTGCTCAGCGCGCGACACGCTGCCGGATCCGGACGGCGAGCTGCGCTGGTTTTCGCGCGGCAGGCTGGACTGACTAAAAAAAAATTAATTCACACCGCGGACAAATCGAAATATACCTCATGCCGGCAAAATACGCCGCCATCACGTCGGACCCGTTCGTCGTGTAGTTGCCGTAGTTGCTCGTCTAAAAACGGCGAATTAACTTCAACGAAATCGAGCAACCTGCGGCATCGGCATCATCGAGATGGGCTGATTCAAGCTGGGGTAGATGCCCTGGCTCATCATGTTGAAGGTGGGGTACTGCATCGAGCCATACGCTAAAAAATCCAACTAGAAAAACGGCGTTGAATTTACCTCCATAAATCGGCGACGCGCCGCCACCATATCCGCCAAAGCCGCCGGAACCGCCGTACATCATCGGCGTGTTGTAGCCGTGGAAACCGATGGGCTGCTGGGTGAGACTTTGTTGTGCCGAGAAGATGGGCACCGAGAAGCTGGTGGACTGGGGCCGCGAGACGGAGGACGACAGGGCGAGGATGGCATCCACCTGCTCCTGTGGTATCCGGGTCTCGGGCTTGGGTGGCTAAAAAAATTTGTTTTCTATGCTATTTATAACACCAACAATATAAATATCTATTTTGACATTTTGAAGCGTTTTTCGAAGGTTTCGAATAGATTTTGCGCTTGAAATATAGCTAAATTGAATCCAAAACTATTGAAAACGCCCTTTTGTTGTGTCGTGTAGTATCCATACAGGAAGAAAATTCGGACCCGACAGCCGCAAAATTTCGAAAGATGCATAGTTTCTATTTTCGAAAAACCAAACCTCAGATGGCACCATTATCGACGAAATCTTCGGATACAGCGGCGTCGGCACAAGCGGAACGGACGGCAGAACCGCGGCCGTTTTCTTCTGAACGGGCTTGACGGCTTGGGCCGCCGGGGCCACGCTGGCAGGCATCGGCGTTGGAGTGATGGCGGCGACAGGGGGTGCAGATTGCGGTGGTTGCGATGAAGGTTGTGGCCTAAAGACGGCAGTTTTTTGGCTTTTAGTAAGGCGACTTACGCAAGCTTTGGAGCCAGCGGGTTGCTCGTCGAGGGGACCGGCGCTGCTGACGATGTCGGAAGTGGCGTTGTTGGGGCCGGTGTGGCAGGCTTGGTCTGAAAATCAGCATGTCTTCACGTTGTTTTGCTTTTATAAAGCGTAGTTTTTACGAGAAAATCTAATTTTGCGATATCAGACGAGTGTAAATTGGTTGTTTCGAGATAGCTGATCTGATGACTGAGCACTGATCAAGTTCCGATTTTGAAAAACTGCCAAGCGATTGAAAGACGTCTCCGAAAACATTTTCCAAAGTTCATGCCGAAAATGTGCAAAATTGGCGTTTTCAGAGCGAATTTTTCGCAACATGACCGTCGCATAACGGTTTTAGAAATAACGGTCTCAATTTGTTAAAAACTAGCGTAAATTTTGATTTAATTTAATCAACTTTAGAATTTTTCAATCTCCAGACCCACCTCACTCGTCCCACTCTTCACCGATCCTCCGGCATTTCCGTAAAACAGCGCGCTGGGTTCCGGCAGGAAAGAGGCCACATCATCCGTCGTCCGCCGTCTCACCGTAGCCGCAGAGGTCTTCTGGGCTTCGGGCTTCTTGACGGGCGCGTCCTGCTTGACAGGCTCGACCTTGGGCGTGATGTCGACTTTTGAGGGCTGCAGAATAGATGTCGACGGAGGCTTCGGAAGCTGTTGAACGTTCACCGGGGCCGGTTGGGCAACCTTGCTCGGCTGCAACACCTGGGCGTTGACAGGCTTGTTTTGTTGGGCAGGCACTTGGTGGGGCTGCTGTGGGAGTGAAGATCCGTTCATCGGTGCCGTTTGGTGTCCGGCTTGAACTTGTCGCGCCGGCTGCGGATTTTGTAGACCGCTCATAGGTGCATTTTGTAGTCGATCAGCTGGCTGCGCAAGTGCCGATCCGTTCATAGGCCCATTTTGCTGTCCGGCTTGAACTTGTCGAGCCGGCTGCGGATTTTGTAGACCGCCCATAGGTGCATTTTGTAGTCGAGCCGCCGGTTGACTGGCGGGAGTCGGTTGCAGCGGTTGGGTGGGCACGACAATCTGCGAGGTCGGCCGAGCGGCTTGGACTTGCGCGGCAGCCCCGGGGTTGTACATGCTGAGCCGGCCGGCGGCTTGCAGCTGCTGAAGTTGGGCGGCAGTTGGCTGGTATGCGGCTTGCGGGACGGCGCCCATGTGCGGGGCGGCCGTTTGGCGAGCCGACGAAATGGCCGGCGTCGGCTGCAGCACCTGAAAAACACACTTGAAGAAGGGCCGGGAAGGAAAAAGGAGAGAAAAGAGGGAAGGTAAATAATGGGTGAGAGTGGAGAATGAATCAATTTGCCAGTGTATGTCGGTCCTGGTGTATGGCGACATTACTAGTCTAAAAGTTTGTAAAAGCATTTGGAATGCTAACAGTTATGCTTTTTCAGAGTCGTCGGAAAACTGCTCGCTAAATCGCTCATTTTCGATAGATAATTCAATTCTGAACAATTTTTACAAGTTAATTCCAACAAAATGGCTCTCCCCGATTAAAAACAGCAAAAAACACGGATTCGGCGCCGTGAAATTCCTAGCGTTTTTACTTTTGTAAAAAAGGGGATAACCATTTCGCAAAAATGAAAAACAGAGCGCGACAGAATTAGCTATATCACGGGCAATTTGCGGACATCTCGAAAAAACGCCCATTCTTGGAACGAAATTCTTAGAAAACTCAATACGCCAAAGCGACACCGGCAGCCGCAAAATTTATTACTCTCGAAAAAACGTGATGGATTCACAGTGAGGAGAAAAATGTGCGAAGTTGGCAAAATTTACTGACATTTGTGCCGAATTGGGGTGTGGACGTGGAGTGGGAGCTGGGCAGCACTTTTTGCCCGTTGGCCAGGTAGTTGCCGATGCGCACCTAAAAAAGGGTAATGTTAAAAAGGTGAAATCTCGACCTCAAACGGATCGGGCCCCTGGGCGACGTTGGGGTAGGACGAGGGGACGCGCATCGTGTTCATCTGGCTGTGCACCATCACCGGCGTCTCGTTCGGGTTTTGCCGGAGCCGCACTTCGCTGGCTGAAAACGCAGGTTCAGAGGGTCTCACCAAAAAAATTTTGGACGCTTTGCTTTTCCTCAATGGTTTTTGCTAGGCCAACGGCAGGTTGAAAACAACGAATTAGACAAAGTTTCGTGAAAAGTAAAAAAGTCGGGCCACGCCGGCTAAAAACATGATTAACGCAAACACGACGTCCCGTTGTTTTCGAAAAAGTAAAAAGTTGCCTCCTGAGCGTCAGCGAAAAAGGTTGAGTATGGTACCCATTAAAATTTAGAAAGTTTGGGCTAAATCCCAAGGCGTCGCAAAAAACGAATGTGCATATTTACGCATTTGCGATACTTCCCGATCTAAAGCAATCGCTATATGCCGCTTACAACAACCGGCGCGGAAAAATTTGACGCTAGCTGTACGTAGTCAACAAATTCCTCAATAATATTTGCTAGCTGACCTCAAGAAAATTGACCACAACAAATTTGACAGCGTAGTGTAAAAAGCACCAAAAACACTTCTCACCTGTACTCTGGCGATTGAGGATGCTCTGCATCTCGTTCATGATCGACTGACCGTGGCCGACGCCGATATTTGCGCGAGACGAGGATGGCACTAAATTTTAACCCATCTGGATCACAAAACCAGATAAGGCCAACCGTTCGGCTCAAAATGCGTCGCGCTCGACATGCCGTGGGGCGGTGGGTTTGGCCTCTGTGCAAGCGGGATGCCTTCAAGCCGTTGCGCGACGCTTCGAACATTCTAAATCACAGAATTTAACGCTTATTACTCCTAGATATTGATCGCTACATACCCTCGATAAATATTAATTTGGATAGAAAACGTGCGTCCAAAAAACTCACGACAAAGGCGTCGGCGGACAGCATGGGAGGAGTGTTGTTGGCAGACCGGCTGGCGCTAAATGAGCGTCATCATGAAAACCCACTAGACACGAACCCATTCTCGGAGATGGAGGTGGATTTCGGGCGCGGGACGGCGGCCCCATTTTGGTGGACCTTCGGCTGCGTCCTGGGTGGAGGAGGAGCAGGGCGGGCTAAAAAAATGGGTTTTTTCACTATTAATCTAAATTAATGGATTAGCAAATCCTTAAAGAGATAAGGACGGCATAAGTCAATCGGTTACGCGGGGGAAAGGGGGGTGTCTGCGCCTCTCTCCTGGACGCCCTCTCTCACCGCCGCATCTGTTGAACCCCCTCCCAAACTGGGGTTCAACAAATGTCGTCCTTATCCCTTTAAATCCTAAAGAATCGTCCAAAAAATCTATCTGCTCGAATCAAAAATGTTTAGTTTTCAAAAATTCTTACTACCAAGTCCTCTGAAAATGATCAAAAAAGAACGCTCTACCTATTTGCTGCGATGCTGGCAATATTAGAGGAGGCGGAGCCGGCTGGAACATGATCGGTGCCGGTGCAACTCGTTGGGATGCTAAAAAAAGACAGCTAAATTTAAATTTTGAACCCAAGCAGGCACGTGTTTCCATACATAAATTCTTTACTTTAATTGATCGTAATAAACGTTATATTCAACCCGTTCGGCAGTTAACCGACCTCTTGTCAACGCGACATCTTCGAAAGGGTCGGCCAGCACGGCCAGCTGGATCCCCGGGCCTGACGACGACGAGGGCTTCGGATTGGCGGCTGGCGGCTTTTCTGAAAAACAAATGCTATTTAAAGCCGTGAAAACGTTAGAATAAACCAAAGCCAAGGAGAGAACCAATGATAAACCCTCACTCGGCAACTCTGGCGGGCGGACGTCCTTTGTCTTGTGCGGCGGAGGGAGAATCGAGTCGATGATATCGGGGGCCACACTGAAAAAAAGACTATAAACGAGAAACGACAGATAAACTACATACTACAGAGGTCATAAAGGCGAAAATTGCTCATGGAAAACCTACGCTGGCATGGGCTGTCCGGTGACGGGATGGCCCAGGTAGATGGGGTCGATGCGGTCGGGGCCGCCCCAGCTGCGGCCTTCTCGGGTGTCACCGTGGCCGGTGTGGATGAAGGAGCCTGAAAAAAAGGTTATAATGATTATTGGGGGAAGCCGGCACATAGGGGTCTGAAACTTTGGAGAGGGAAAGCATCAACGAGACACTGAAATAGCGCACGGTTTGACTGGTTTTTTTTTTGCTAAATCGCGCCAAAAGCCCATAACCCTGTTTTTATTAAACACCGACATTTTGGGGGTTGGGTCTTCCGGTTTTCCGAGTCGATCCGAGCTAATTTGCCCCAATTCCTCCAAGCAAAATAACGAAAAGCTGCCGTCACCTAAATGCTAAGGCCGATGCATCAATATTTTAAAAACGTTACAAAAACACGCATTTCAAGAGATTTCGAGCGGTACTTTCGAACATCGAAACGCGTCCCTATTCTAACTATCTTTTTGACCACTTACGGTATTTCCGACACTCTGAATCCAGAAAGTTTGAATCCGGAAGCCGCTAAAATAGCCAAACACCTCACAAACCCAAAAAAAATTTCCAAGACCTGGCGCTGAACAAGGGGTCCAAAATGCGGCAGACAAATGGAAATGAAGACAAAAAGAGGCTTTTCCGAGGACAAGGGACCGAAACTTGCCGGAGACCGAAAAGCCGCGGCCCACAGAAGTGTCTAAAAGCCGTTGAAAAGAGTTTACGATCACAGCCACCACTCGAAACATCCTAGGTAAAATTTACCGGCAATCGGCCGCGAGATCCGCTGATTTCCATCTTTCGTCCCGTCGTGCGACGAGCGCGTGAACACGGAGGCGCGCGGGAACTGGCCGAACAGACGCGTGCGCTCGTTCTGGCCGAACCACACGGTGCTCCTGGAAATCACAGAGGTAAAAATACGGGGAGCACCCACTTGTCGTCAATGATCAGCACACGGTCGCCCATCTGCAGCTCGAGTCGATTGCGATCGGTGGCAAGTTGCGGATCACGGACCTCGGCGACCGGGAAGCTGGCCTAGAATTTGAATTTTGAGCATAGAGTGGAGAGAGCTGTTCTTTTTGAAAGCACATTTTTTCGCCGATTCTTTTTTAGTCCACGAATTTTCATTTCTTCTCACTAGGGAAGTATCTGAACTTGCCATCGAACTTTGAGAAGTCAGATACACCATTCGACGCGCCGTGACAAGAGGATTCCAAATATGTAATAAAATCAACGGGAGCGCATAACGGTAAAAAGTTATGAGGCTTCAAAGTCGGCAAAATGACGAAAAACAGCATCTTTGAGGCCCTGTATCATCCCGCGGAATGGAATTTAGTCCAAACTAATTCGTGCTCCTTGTTCAACAAAGAAAGCCCTTTCAAATGAGCTATATTACATACGGCTGCCAAAAATATTTTTGGAATGCAGTGTAAGGGTAGGGTATGGCCAGCTAGCCAAAGACTTTTCGAGAATTTGGCGTAAAGCGCAGGTAAGATAGCTCATTCGAAAGGGAATTTTCAGCTGATCAAGATGTACTGTTCCATTTTTGACAAATTCAGTTCTTCGAATTCGCAGAGAGCTTTAAAAGGGCGGTTTCCGACGATTTTGCCAACTTTGATATAGAGAGCGTCCAATCCTAGTTTTGTTGGGGGAGGTTATTTTATTATCGCTGGTGCTTTTTAGGGGTCACACAGTAAAGAAAAACTTATTCCCGAGTTTGGACATGCAAAAAGTAGGAACCGGTCAAAAAGCAAAAAATAAAAATCGTGAGGGGATCCGAACCCTGGTCATACAGCCAAGAGAGCCATGCGCAAACCACTAGGCCACGAGACCGATGGGCAGGGTGCGCTGGGAGGGGCTCTTCTCGCGGAGGCAGCTTTCAATGTAAAACTTAAAATGCTCATAACTTTTTACCGTTATGCGCTCCCGTTGATTTTATTACATATTTGGAATCCTCTTGTCACGGCGCGTCGAATGGTGTATCTGACTTCTCAAAGTTCGATGGCAAGTTCAGATACTTCCCTAGTCAGTTTAATCTCTCCGCTATGGTTTTGAACGCTAATGAAGACATTTCGTTGCTGAAACCACCAAAATAAGAACTTTTTGGCAGAAATGGCTGCTTCAAGATCCCCAAAATCGAATTTCCGAGCCTCGGTCCTTTTTTGGCGCTCGCAAAAGCAGTTTTGAAAATATTTGGGAGAAAAAAATGGTTAAGATCACGGAAAAAAGCTAGCAGTTCAGAAAGGCGGTCGGTAAATGTCATTTTGCCTTCTAAGAAATAAAGATTGGGCGGAAACAACCCTCACAAGGAGTGGTTTTTAGGTGAAATTGGAGTTTTTTTGAAGCGACTTAGCTCATTAGATACAGCTTGAAATTCTGAACGAACCCCATCTTTAAAGGGCTGCCGACGGCATGTGTCGATCCCCCCTCATCAACAAATTGGCAAGTAGCCAACAGGGCAGAGAGCGCGCCCCGGGGAGAGGCGCAGAGACATTTTCCTTTCCGCGCGTAACCGATTGACTATGCCGTCGGCATCCCTTTAAAAAACTGCTAAACGACAACGGTCGATGAGAAACAGTGTCTCGAACTTTTCCATTCTGCCAAGCGCGGGCCAAAATGGGCAAATTTCATCTGTAGCCATTCGGCGGTTTTTGCAAGACGGGAGTTGTTCAGAATTTCACGAGCTATCGAACGAACTATACCATACGGCAAGAATACAAACCATAACCTAAAAACAACTCCTTGCCAGCCCATGGAAATTTGGTGAAACCAAAGAAAATCGAGGCAGCGCGCCGCACCTGCTTCAACTGGCCCCAGAATTTCTTGAAGCACGGCCGATCGTCGGGCCGCGCCATCCAGCAGGCCGTCATCAACTTGTAGACTTGCTCGGAGCAGTAGTCGGTTTTTCTCAGTCTCTCGCCAGCGTCAATCTTCTCCAGGACCTAAAAAGATTGTTGTAATGCGTTCAAGGCGAATTCCTACCTCCTTGCCTCGCATGCCGGCCCACGGATCCTCGCCCAGCGAGAATATCTCCCACATCAGCACGCCCATCGCCCACACGTCGGACGCGTGCGAGAATTCGCGGAAGCGCAGCGATTCCGGTGGACACCTGAATGGATGGTTATGAAAAGGGAGTTTTGGGAAAGCAGTAAAACTTAGACGCAAAGCTGTAGTTGAGGAAATGGAGGGGCTTGAACAACAAAAAAAGAGCGAAAGACAGGGCTCTTTGAGTCTTTTCCGGAAAACTAGAAATTGTAGCTCAAAATTACGTTCAGCCGCCCAAAAAAAATGTTTGAAACTGAAATTTACTCATCTGTTTAACACATTCTCCCCTGTTTCCGCAAAGCCGAGAAAATTGAACGAAAAGTCGCACAGAAAAAGGGGCAAATCCGAAGGGATTGAACGAAAAAAGAAACAGGGCTTCCCGAGTAGTCGATAAAACTAAAATCTAGCGCAAAAAATAGTTACATTTTCGCCTCGATTATTTCGATTGAAATTTATAAAGCCGCATCACAATGTTTTAGTAAAGCTTTTTATCGAGACAATTTCGCAGAAAGCAGAACAAAAACGCCAAACTCAAATCCCACGGTTTACCTAAGAAAAAGACACACGGTGCTCTAAAGGGTGTCAAAATGCGGTGGTTGCAACTCAACGTACCAGGCAAAGGCCACTCGTTTCTGCGGGTTCATCACGTAAAGCCGTTGGTTTTCTTCCAGACTTCTCATCAGCCCGAAATCGCAGATTTTCACCGTCTGAAAAGGGTTTATTGAGGGTGTTTTTAAGTTATTTTAACAGTAACCTTAAAGGTTATTGTAAAAGGTATTTCTCCCCATGTTACTTCGAGTTTTTTAAACGCGCGAAAGCGCTAATTTTTTAGTTCCCGGTTACGTTATAACCAGAGTACCCGGAACTTTTCGATCAACACTTCCCCCTGTCAGATCTCCCCTCTCATCAGTCCGCTTCTTTTGCCTATGCCTCCGCCAATCAGCCCGATTCGATTTATGGCGCCGGAGGCGGGGCGCGCGCAGCTGACAGGTTGTCAACCTTCCCCAGGCAACACCGCCAGCCGGCTGAGTGGTCTAGTGGTATGATTCTCGCTTAGGGTGCGAGAGGTCCCGGGTTCAATCCCCGGCTCAGCCCAGATTTTTTGCGTTTTGAAAGGTTTTGATTCCGTGACGCTCCTATGTCATTCAAAGCTTCTCCCGGGCCTCTCCCCGTGCCAGAAAAATGGGTTCCTGGGTCCTTGCAGGGTGCGTCGCGGGTTCGATCCCCGGCTTAGCTCAACGTTTTATTTTTGAAAGTTTCCGGTTCCGTTACGCTCCCATGTCATTCATAAGTCTCTCCCGGATTCTCCCCTCCAATACTGAGTGTTTCTCACTTAGGGTGCGAAAAGGCGCGGTTTCGATCCCGGGTCCAGCCCAAATTTTTTTGCTTTTGGAATCATAGACTGGGAATTTTAAGCCGAACCGCCCGTTTCCCCGGACTTTTCCCTGGCTTGAAAAGGCCAAATAATTTACCCGCTCATCCGTCGACAGCAAGATATTCCTGGCGGCCAAGTCGCGGTGCACGCATTTTTTGCTCTCCAGGTAAGCCATGCCCTTCGTGATCTAAGGAAGGGTAAAAAGCCGATATTCCTCCAGATACCTGTTGCGAATACTCGAGCATCGATGAAACGAGCAGCTGCGCCTTTTTTCGATCCCGGAGCCGGTCGAGCAAACTGCCACCTTCGCATAGTTCGAACACCTGGAAATTGGGGTTGAAAATTTGGATATTTTTTGACAGTTTCGACAGTATTTTTCTAGCGATTCGCTTTTTTCGCCAAGTGCGCCTTGGGATTTCACGCTATTCAATCTGCTTTCCGGACCGATTGCCTTGAAGAAAGCAAAGAAACTAGGGCCAAATTCTAAATAAAACCCAATTTTCCAAGCCAAATGCCATAAAGAAAACTAGCCGTAGCCGCTTTTAACAAGATTATTCGCTCGCCAAACTAAACCATCACCCCCCTTATGACTTTCGGCAAAGAGCCTCGAGGGGGCTTCGCGGCGCTGATTCACTATTCTTCAAGCCGTCCATTCCCTTTTCGGCTTTTTTCCGCGCCACACTCCTTTCCCCCGGTTCCACGGCGACCGGTTCCGTTAGGTGGCAAGGTTACGGAAATCAGCCGCCAGCAAAATTTGCGAGTAAAAGCAGTACGCTTTCGCTTTTTAAGCTTGCTGAGCTTTAAAAATAAAAGAAAATACGCAAAATCGCGCTCTTGTCACTATGGTCATTCAAAAGGCTCTGGCGCGGCTTTTCCAGCAGAATTTGTAATTCCGCCCTGAAACTCTGATTACCACGCTAGTAATTTTCGTCGGCCCTGTAGTTTTTTCACACAAATTTTTTCAAATTTAGCAATTCATAAAAATATTTCTGTGTCATCTCGCCCTCGATTTTTACAAGTCCCCCGCGAGCGTACAAAATGTCAACACGCAGCACGTCGTACTCGCCGCCATTCCAGGCCGGTCACTCCCTTTATCAGGTTTCAATTCGGCCCATGAATCCCGGCGCCCGTGAAATCGGGATCGATTCTCGCGGGCCACTTCTTTGATAGCGCAGATTGGGTGCGAAAATTTTGCAACGTTTCGGGTGATCCTAGAAGCCTCAAAGTCAGAAAACAAACATGTGTAACCTGCAAAAAATGCGTCATCGTCGCCTACGGGTTAGTCATGATTTTGGGGGCTGAATCACCGGCACAGCAAAAAAAAATGGTAAAGGGTGGGGCTCTGAATTTGTCACGGCCGTAAAATGACCAGCGCCATACAATCGGTGTTTTTCAGGTGATATTGCCTTTAGAGATGTGATCCAGCTCGTCCGATAGAGCTTCAAATCCGGAACGAATCACGTCTTGAAAAACTGTTGCACGACTATGGTTTTCTCGAAGATTTTATGTGAAATGGCTGACTTTTAAAGCGGCGATGCGCAAAATTTTTTTGCAAAATGCCTCCGAAGGTCGTTAAAGTTCCGCGGTTTTTTAAGCTGGTACCTGTGCAGAATTTTAGGTCCTGTTGAATGAGCTAATTCGCATCGCAAAACTACAATGTCGCCTAAAAGCCACCGCATGAGTGTGCCAGCAAGTTGGCAGCCAGCTGGCAGCAACCCCCCAGGAGCGGAGCGGGAGAAGACAGTTGAAAAACTGACCATCCAGCCCGCATCCAAAACCACGCCGTAGAGTCGAATCAGGTTCGGGTTCTTCAGCTTCTGCAGACTGTCGATTTCTCGTTGTAGATCTTCCATCACCATATCCGAGGCATCCCTGAAAAAGTGTTTTTAGCAAGAGCGTCAGAAACGAAGAAAGGTATGGCGAGCCGGTTTTGAAAAGCCCAGATTCCGGAGCGACGCCCGAAACGCGACAAAATAAACTCAAGAGCTTTTTGAAACATAAAAACAACGAACCTAAGAATCTTGACAGCAACATCGAGCTTCTCGCCGCTAGGAGTCGTCCAATAGGCTCGTTTCACCACGGCAAACGTGCCTTCACCAAGCTTCTCGAGGAGTTTGATCTGGAAAACAAGAATTAGGCCGTCTGGATAGTTAAAATAAATGTATTTCCGTGTTCGCATTAATTTCACCTCTCAAGCAAAAACAAAAAAAACGCGAAAACAACCAAATGACGGTATAGTGATCGTGAAACCGTTCGCACCTGTTCTTTTTGAATCGTGCTTGTGTCCGGCTGCGAGAGTTCTGGCGGCAGCCGGGAATCGTCGATCGGCACTTGGACTGTGAGGGCAGCCCGTTCCGGATGTCGCCTCAGTTCCCGCTTCTTCTCCTGGATCGCTTCACGCAATCGACGGATTGCGGGCAGGGAGAGGCCGACGTTCTGAAAATCAAATTAAAAACAATGGATTTTTGTGAAGAAAACCATCTTTACACAAACTTTGAGTTTTGAGCTTTTAGACTGACATCTTAACGGTCTTAAAAGACTGTCGCGCTGACAAGAGAATAAAATCTTCACAAAAAAAATCATAGCTCTTTAAGAAGAAACTCTTTTCACACCAATTTTGAGTATTTAGCGTTTATGCTATCCTATTAAAAGATGTAACTCAATGAAAGTAAAATTAAATAAGCAAGATTCGCACCTGCAGGTCACGCTCTTTCGCGTGCTCGAAGTGCTCGAGCTTCGTGAGCTGGAGCTCGTGGCAGAGCTGCCGTCGGAAGCCCTGCAGGTCGGCGGCATCCAGCACCTGAAGAACGTAATTTGCAAAATTTTCGGATACTTCTAACTCATGGCAGGATCAGAAAAACAAACCTCTAGCAGCGCCTTGTCCAGTCGTAGTCCGGTGCCCATCTCATCGCCGGAAGCACCCCTGAAAAATAGCAATTACCACCGCCAAAATGATACCAGTATGGAAAACCAGAAAGCGAACAAAATTAGGTACAATCGAGATAAGAAACGGGCCGTTTCAGGCTACAATTTTTTAGAAGGACCTAGAATCTAAAATTTCAACACTAGAAGAAGAAGCCGAGGCCGAGAAAACGTGATGACACACGCCAAAGGTTTGGGCGATTAGCCTGCAGAGGTTTCTAAAGAGTGAAAACGATCGCGTCACCCGAACCCCCTTTCTCCCACGGATTGTAAACAACGGCCTTTCAACGAATCAGCCCGGTTGTTTACCAAATTTTCTGGTTTCTGAGATTTTCTGCGGGTCGAGGTAACTGGCGAGAACAAGAACCCTATACTACCCCTTAAAAAGGCACACTTTCGGAAAATTTACGTAAAACGCTCAGACAAAAAGCGAAGACGCTCGAAAAGTGGAAACTTGTCTACAAAGAATTCAGAATAGATAATGAATTCGAGCCTATTTCACGCAAACAAGCTGGAGCTTAGATTCTCATAAAAAGGCGAGCATTCCCGGGGTTTCACGCAAAGAAGAAGAGAATAACCCCATCCAGGGTCAAATCGGGCTCAAAATCGGCATCGATATACAGTCGACGTTCCTGATCAATTGCCTGCGTTTTTAATTCACCATTGCCGTTTTAAAAGTCAAGATACGCAAGTTTAAATTGGTTGAAAATGACGGAAAGCTACAAAATCTTCAGATTAGCCGCTTCGAGATTGTATACCTCTAGTTTTCAACGTCCACAGCAAATTTTAAAAATAGAGAGAATTTTGTATATTTTTGTCGGTGTCCAATGGGTCCCCGGGGTGAAAAAAGCGCCGAATTTCGTCCAAGCGGTATGCAAGCGTCTAGAAAGTTGATCAACGCGCCTAGCTTTACAAATTGTTAGTGAAACGCGTAAAAATAAGAAATAGCCGTGCGGGGACCGTTGGGAAGAGCTACGCGGCGCTTTCGGCTGGCGCGGGCGTCAGCAAACAGAATCCGGTCGCGCCGGGACGAACAGGTGTGCCGTCAGCCCGGCCCTTCACGGACCGTTGCTGCCGACAGCCTCGGCACTGCCGGGTCCCGCGGCGCGCCACTGAACCCGGTGCCCGCTTCATCACGCCATTTAAAAGCAACGGCCACCGAAACGATTAAGCCAAATCGTTAGACTTTGAAGCGCCGTTTATCGACGGTTAAAACCAAAAAGTTTAATTAAAAAAGATGGATTAAATATTGTAAAGAATAAGAAAAGCACGAGGCTGAGCTTTGTAGAAATGCCGGCTTCTCGCTATGAGTTTGAGGAATAAAGGTTCATTTGAATGCGGAATTCAACGAGGACAATGCTGAGGAATCTGATAAGCTCCACTCCTCAATCGACCGGAAAGGTTGATGGCCGACCACCCGGTAAGTTTTTTTGGCTCTTCTTATACAGGGCGCGCCCTTTGCGAAACCTTGTGACAAACGGGCCTTTTTTGGCCACTACAATTCATCCTTTAAGAAAAACGCGCACGAAAGGGGCCCGGGGGGCTAGACTACGCCGCGCTCCAAAACCCTCGCGTAACTGGATAGAAAGCAAAGGGGCAGAAAATTTTTTACTTTCATCACGCTGTAACTTTTTTCAACGCGACTTTCATAATCTACTTGAACGCTGAAAAAATAGAAGAGAATTTTCTTTATCTTATGAAAGCGGTTTCGCGAAAATTGAGCGTGGCAAACGGGACTTCTGATTTTTTGAAGTTTGAAAAATGAGGTGTCAGTTATCGAGTGGGCTTGTATCCAGCTAAATACTAGCCCAAGTACCTGAATTGCATTTTTTTGTAGACTCTCTGTTATAAACCACCCAGATAAAACCTAAACCTTAGGTTTTTGAGATTTACTTGACGGTTTCAATCGAAGTTTTCAGAAGTTTTCAATTGGCCAGAACTTTTTTCGACGACGGTTTTCGAATATAATTACGGCCTAGGGAGATAGAACAGACTTCGCTCTATCTTTCGCACATATTCTTAGAATATCCTAGCGTAGAAATTTAGCGAGCGGGACATGGAAGAGGGCAAATGAGCTTGCTATGTTTATTGGCCTATTCGACCTGGAGAGAAGGTGCTGGCTGGCTTTTTTTGGTTTTATAGCGTTACGACAACCTAAGATGAACGGTTGGAGCAAAAAGCAAAAAAGAAAATGCAGACGGCTGTGGCCCCGGGAACCGAACCCGCATCCCCTGTCTCGGGGCTGGACCGCCGCCTTAGACCACTACACCACGCCCCGACCACCCCTCTCGTGCGCGCTCTGAAAGGCCGTGTGGCTGTTCGAGACTGAATAAAAGGGTTTGCGGAAACCACATCCAAGACGCGGATCAGTCATTCATTTTCCAAGCAAAAATTCGATGATTTCAGGCAGACCCGGGTGATGGGTCGCGCATTCACACCTACCGATTCGATAAAAGCGCGCATCATGTGGTCCGCGGTGTCGCGGAGATCACGCTTTTCGTAATCCACGGCATATGCACCCGCAACCTTACCGATTATAGGCCCACCGCAATGGCGAAGCCAATCGCTATGTCATCGCGACACAAAAGAACAAAATCGATAAAGTGAGTGTTGGGCCTGAGATTATTTTTTGTCTTCAGTTGAGGAAAGACAACGCATTGATTTTGGCTGAGCTGAAGCGGCCGGACGGCGGGATGGGTGGGTGTTAAATTTTCTTTTTCATCTGAAAATATGCTTGATGCTAGCGAGCTATTCTCGATTGAAGAATTCTTAGTGTACACTTCCTTTTCAGATATGGATGACAACCGCACCGCGCATTCCACGACCGATCATGCTGCACCATCTTCTTCTATGTCATCTACGCCATCTGTTCGGTCCGTTGTTACGAAATTTTATTGGCAAGGACTAGCGCAAGCCTAAAAACTTGGCCCACCGCCAATTTCAAACATCTAAAAATCCTCAAATCTAAAATTTGAGGACTGTTTTAGGCCTTCTTCGACAACATCGTCGCGTTTTGGTTCGCTCTTCTGCTTTGGTGAATGGCTTTCGCACAATTATTGCTTTCTTTGTAGTTTCGGCTCTGGTGTCAAACCTCAATTGTTGCGCTCGCAAGAGTTCTGATGAGCCGCCCATCTCGAATGTTAACGAGGAACAGCGCAGGGAGGGCGATGATTGCCAGGTCATACCATAACCCTGCCGCCACGGAAAATGGGGAGGTCGAGCACTCGACCTTCGGATCTCTCCCATTTTTCGTGCTTGGCCTGTATTTATGGTTGTGCAAGTTTTTGGTGCCTTTAGAGTTGAAACGAATACCTTATTTCAGACAGTTTCCGTTTCGCCGTGTATCTTGCCCAAACCTGAGCTAAACGCCGTCGAATCCAGTTTGTCGTCGGAAGGCAGCTCCATGACTTCTAATTCGGCAAGTTTTTTTTCATATTTTGGCAACTAAATACTGCCCATAGTCCTAAAGTGCCCATCCGCCCGCCGGCATGACTTCACAATCAGCTTTTAATCCTTCCGACGGCGTTTAGATCGATTCTCGGCTGCTGACTGGCGCCTCGGCGATGGAGGAAGCCATTGATCAACAAGGAGTTCGCGAGAAACCCAGCTTGGATAAACCAGCGGAGGTAGGATTCTATTTTTTGGTCGCAATACGTCTCAATTTCAGTTCCTACAGAAGTTCCGAGTGGAGGGACGACGGTTGGCGGAATTAAGAATGGGAATTTACAGCGACGATCAGGTGGACGTGGGTGTTGTTTCCTCAAAACTTCATAGTTCAATGAGCCTCGAATTTTGTGGAACAAGCAATATAATATTGCTTTTTTATAGTAGCAGCTTATCCTTTTTCTAGGTGGCGGTAAGGGAGAGCGCCGAGGTCGTGCAATACATTGGCATTGTGGAGGAACACTTGAAGAAGATGGCAGAAAATTTGGCGCTCCTGAAAGGAGATGTGGGTATAAGCATGAGCTTTTTTAGGGTCGAACGGCAGCATCGGAATCTGTTCGCTCTAAGATACTGGTTTATTTTCAGTTGAAAGAAGAGGGCAGCGCGGTGGAGAAGAACAAGAAGGTCATCGAGAAACTGTACGCCGAGGTGCGGTTTCCATTGTTATGAAAGCCTAGCGTACGCGTATCCATTTCGTAACACAAATCAGGGCTGTTTTGGCCTCTGGTTCTTACGAGGATCCACAGCTCCTTAGCACTAACAGAAGAATAGTTGAGTGCTAATCGTGCAATACATGGTCCTAAATTCAGTATTTGCGATAATATCTAATATTTTGCAGCACGATGCTCTGTTGGCTACGTACGTGAAGCTCAGAGGCGAGGTAGAGGTTTCTTTTCCGCCTACCAAATTTGCTTTTAAGGGTTCGCATAGTGACAAAGAAGAAGACGGCCACGACACTCGTTTGGTTCCTCTGGTAATATGTTTTTTATGCCGCAATATTCCATTGGGAATTGGGCTTCTTTAGTATTTCAGGAAAGGAAAAGTATCTCAGGTTCTTTCAAATTTTTAGCATCGGGTGATCCGTTTACAAATTACAAATAATAACATTTTAAAATACAAAAATATAGACTTGTCGGCAAAAATGCTGTATTTTATATACTTTTAGCCTTCTGGGCTCAGCCAAAATTCCGATTGCTCGCCCCGAGAAATGCTAATGAACTAGAATTGGTTATTTTCGGGACCGAACATTTTGGGAATTTGCTGAATTTAGACCACAGCTTTCCGCGAAGGACGGCAGTCTGCGGTCTAAATTCAGTGTTTAAATTCCATTTACAGATGAAGGCAACCGTCATCGGCGCGCGCCGAGATATCAAGGTGGCCCAGGATGGGAGCCTCCTGAAGCAGTACTTTACGCCGAAGGTAGGGATGGTGATTTCAATCACCTGGTTTGCTCTTTCGCTACTCTCGCTGTTTTCGCGGTAGATGAAATCTTGGATCGATGGGGCGGGGGCTTGCCTGAATTTCATCTACCGACTGACCGGAAAAACTGTAAACTCGGTGATGAGATAGTTTTTCTCGGCTGCTTTTTATTTTTTGTTAGACCCAAACCATTTTGTTTTAGCCCCCCCCCCTCTTTGGTAGGGCTAAGCGGAAACTAGCAAAAGCTTGGTCGCAGCAGTCGGAGATACGAAAGTTTTTGGCAGATTATTTTTTTATTGCTAGGAAGCCGCAAGAAGCAAGCAAGACGAAGAAAAGATGACTTTTATCCGCTTTGATTTAGTAATCTCACGCCGGATGGTTTGTTACGACGACCGATGTGGGCGCTTACAAGATGCCTGCTGCTACAAGGCTTGCTGCAAAATCGTTAAATTTGATCTCCGTGCTCTCGTCGTACTGTATCATTCGTTCCAATCAATGACTTACTCGAATAAATGGATTGGTTCACACATTACAACAAACACATTGCTATGAGTTTGCTCAGCGATTAACCCGTTTTTGCTTCGGTTGCTGCGTCAGTTGCTTCGTGGTTTCCCAGATAGCGTCTTTAGCAGTGCGACTTTGGGCGCCAGAGTATGTCATTTAAGGATGTTTCAAAGGTACAAGTCCGGTAGTGGTGCTTGTTCTGCCTTTCCCTCGTTGGTGAGGTTTCGAAAAGCACCTTTTCTGGTTAACTATCCTGAAAGATGCGTCCCGGCTTCTCACCTCGTCTGTTCTCCGCGTCGGGCGCCTTTTTGAGGGCCCCTCTAGCAGTAGCCTCTAGCAGTGCCTTGCCGTGTCCGCTGCTTTGAAGCATTTGCGAGGCCTTCTAAGCAAGTCGTGATAGTTAGACCTCCTCCGTCCCCTGCCACCGGGCCTGCTTCTCCCCGCTCTTCCACAACCTCTTGGCTTTCCACCCGACAACTCTCCGCTATTTTTTATAACAGATCCGGGCGGTAAATGAACTAGGTCGAAAAGTAAAGTAAAGTATCATAATCAAAGTAAAGTATCGTATATGCCGGGTATCCAAAAGACTTGAGACCGGTTTCAGAGCATCAGCGCCAGCTCTCCGGACGCCACCACGCCCCACCGTGCATCGACCGGACTCAACGACGACGAGCAGGTTGGCTATCTTACGATCCTACTATAAGTAAAAAAAATGTTGTGTGTATGTGCAGTATATGGGGTTCCGTCTGGGGCCCTTTTTAGGAATGACCGTCATATCAACCAGCCTATTTTCATCAGTCAGAAGATGAACATCATCATCGCGCAGTTCGCGCAACTCGACGCCAATCCGCTCGCAACTCATCTGAGGGTGGTTTGGCAGCATTGCTTCGAGGTTGTTGAGGACGGCGGACGATTTCGAGACGTTTTTTTCTAACCGCCCTAGCAGCCTGGCCAAAGCTGATCAAAAGCTGAAACTTGTTGACCAGATAGAACTTTTCTCGCTCTCTGGAATGGTGTATTTGGCACCCCAAAATACTGAATTTCAAGCGAGATATGAGGGTTTTGCTGCGGCAACAACTTCGGCAAGTACGCCTCTCAGCACTAAAACGCTCCCCTCTCTGTCCCCAGACGGTTTTGTGTAACGTTGAGTATTCCGTTGGAAAGAGCGTGAAAAATGCCATGTTCTAGACACTGGACAGCCAGCCTGGACAACAACAATTTCGGTGTTGTTGTCCAGGCTGCTAGCGCGCTTACAAAAAAACGTTGCGAAATCGCCCGCCGACTTTAACAACCTCGATGGAATGCTGCCAAACCACCCTCAGATGAGTTGCGAGCGGATAGGCGTCGAGTCGTGCGAACTGCTCAAAGATCATGTGCATCTGACAAGGAGTGCTTTTTTTGAGTCATCGGCAAAACCTTACGAGACTAACTCATTCGATAGAGAATTCGATTCTGAACAAAACCTCGTTGTTCTTTTTTGCAGAATGGCTAACCCTGATTTTATAAAATTAAAATACTAGTGACCGTCTCTTACCATGAGTGCCTTTCGAGCCAAAAGAGAGGTTTGTGGGTGCAGTTTTAAAATTTTATAAAATCAGGGATAGCCATTCTGCAAAAAAGAACAACGGGGTTTTGTACAGAATCGAATTCTCTATCGAATGAGCTAGGTCTCGAAGGAATTTGTCGATGACACCCAAAAGGCACTCCTTGTGAGTGTGGTGGTTTTACAATTCTGGTTATTTTGGTTGGTCTTACATGGAGTGCCCTTTTTTTGTCATCGGCAAAACTTTTCGCGACCTAGCTCCGCCCCGGAGGGAGGAGCCGCGCTCGCCTCTCCCCCACACCAGTAAGCCTGGCGCAGTGGCTAACACCACCGCCTACCAAATTGTTCTGCCATTCAGGCAATAGTTCGCAACCCACAGCAACAATTCTTATTGCTTTTTGAATAAGGTTATGCTTGGAAACCTTTGTAGGCGTTTCATGTGCATTTTTTGACAAAATCCCGCTTGCATCAACTCGACTTTTATTTAGCGCCCGGATCCATAAGCATAAGCTTTTTTACAGAGGATTGTTCGATTGTCTCTGCTTCAAGTAAAATGGCCGTTGACCAATGAACACAGCCCAAGCAAATTCAAAAAGCAAACTAAATTGTTGATGCTGGTTTCGAACTTTTGCTTGAAACGCAAAAAATTTCGGTAGGCCGTGGTGTTCGCCACTGCACCACGCGGAGAGGCCAGAGCGGCTCTTCTCCCGGGGGCTGGGGGGGGTTTGGGCCTGGCGCGAGTATGGAGGTCCAAAACTGCAGTTTTTAGTTTTTTAATTTTTTAAAATCGCAGACAGCCATCCCGCAAAAAAATAAACAATGGGAGCTTGTTCAGAATTCAATTCTCTATCGAATGAGCTAGGTCACGAAAGGTTTTGCCGATGACACAAAAAGGACACTCCATGTTAGCATGGTGAAAGCCAGGCACGCACCAATGTATTATTTTTTTTTCAGGCAGCTCTTCCCGCCATCAAGAAGCGTGGGCGGCCGCCTATTCCACCAGTGGTAGGAGTACACTTATTATTAGCGCGACATAAGCATCTTTAGGATTCGCGTGGGATCAACTTTTTTCGGCGCAAGCCTAGATTTTTTTATGAATAGTGGATGGGATTCTAGGTTGTTTTTAACTATTCTTGAGCCTAAAAAAAACTTCACAAATCCTACTATATATATATAATATAATATATATAAAAAAATAGTTTCTGTGTGTGTGGACACTTTGCATAAAATCCCGGGTTCCAGCCATAACTCGAAGGGATGTGGATTTTATGGTTCAGAATAGAAGTGGTTAGGGGTAATCGAGGGCGTAGATTACTGCGCGCTTATCAGTTGTTTACTAAAATGATGCTTTATACCTTATTTTAGCGATTTAAAAACATATGGAAATAGACTAATTTGCATGCGAGGATTAATTCGGCTCATTCTGGGCTTTGCGGGGTTCCGAGTCGGCTGCTCAAGTAATTCCTGTGGTGTGCCTACCACCAACGTAATTCGTAATATTGATGCAAATTATAATATACAGTGCCCGTGTATCAAAGGGCCCCGCAGAGAGGCCAGGGTTGAAAAGTCGCGAAGCGGCTTTTCAACCCTGGTTTTACTTAAAAATAGATTTTTAGGTCGAAAACTTGAATTTTTCGACCCTAAAATGACCAAATTTTCCACTTTTTCAAACAATTGTGTAATTTTTTGTAAAGTTTTTCTACTTTAAATATACCCTTACTAAAAACAATGCAAAAACACTTTGTATTTGATCGCTAGGCCAACCGCGACCGCCAGGAAGAAATCGGTGCCGCGCGAATCCTAAAGAACCCGATTCGGTATTTTTAAAATTATTCCTATATTTGCAGCATTTTGAAAAGTTTTGATCCTATGTGTAGGTCGCAACCTGCGAATGCGGCAGCACTGACGGAATGAATGACAGTTATGGGGCTATGGCGTGCCTGAAGTGCCGCAACAACTTTAGGTGGTTTCCTACCATCCCGCGTTGTTGGCCGTTAAACTGGGACTTTCAGAACAACCTTTTTCAGGAAGGCGCTCAGCCAGAAGAATGCGACCGTCCCTTGCTACAAAGAATGCAAAGACACAGGGGAGTTTTCGCAGAAAAAGAATATAAAAGAGAGAGAGAGAGATGAGAGAGTGAGAGTGAGAGTGAGAGAGAGTGAGAGAGAGAGACAGTGAGAGAGAGACAGTGAGCGGGAGAAAGAGTGAGAGAGAGTGAGAGAGACAGTGAGAGAAAGACAGTGAGAGAGAGAGAGAGAGTGAGAGAGAGAGAGAGAGAGAGAGAGAGCTCAAGTTTTACGCCTTCTTCAGACAACTGCCCGTGGCATCGCATTCAGCGGGGCCTTGCCCGAGGCTTCGATCCGGACTTGATCAAACGCCGCAAGTGAGGCAGCCATTCCCTCCATCATTCGAGCCCCCAAGAATCATGTCCCTTTGCAATTACTTACTTGCGATGTACCAGTGAGTTACATCTCTCTACTCTTATTGTCTTTACGCCCGCCCTGACCCCCATTTTTAAATGAATGTGCGGTTAGTACAATTTTCTAGTACAATTGTGATACAGTGTATGGCGACGAATAAATTTGATCGTTGATCGGTGTCTGGTACCGTTTTCGTCTTTGTTTCCAGTCGCTTCTTCTTTCTAGCACCGTTTCCGAATTTCTAGCACCGTTTCGGCATTTTCTAGCACCGTTTCGGCATTTTCTAGCACCGTTTCGGCATTTTCTAGCACCGTTACCGAATTTCCAGCACCGTTTCGGCATTTTCTAGCACCGTTTCGGCATTTTCTAGCACCGTTTCGGCATTTTCTAGCACCGTTTCGGCATTTTCTAGCACCGTTTCCGAATTTCTAGCACCGTTTCGGCATTTTCTAGCACCGTTTCGGCATTATCTAGCACCGTTTCCGAATTTCTAGCACCGTTTCGGCATTTTCTAGCACCGTTTCGGCATTTTCTAGCACCGTTTCCGAATTTCTAGCACCGTTTCGGCATTTTCTAGCACCGTTTCGGCATTTTCTAGCACCGTTTCCGAATTTCTAGCACCGTTTCGGCATTTTCTAGCACCGTTTCGGCATTTTCTAGCACCGTTTCGGCATTTTCTAGCACCGTTTCGGCATTTTCTAGCACCGTTTCCGAATTTCTAGCACCGTTTCGGCATTTTCTAGCACCGTTTCGGCATTTCCTAGCATCGTTTCCGAATTTCTAGCCGGAATTTCTAGCACCGTTTCCGAATTTCTAGCACCGTTTCCGAATTTCTAGCACCGTTTCGGCATTTTCTAGCACCGTTTCCGAATTGCTAGCACCGTTTCGGCATTTTCTAGCACCGTTTCGGCATTTTCTAGCACCGTTTCCGAATTTCTAGCACCGTTTCGGCATTTTCTAGCACCGTTTCGGCATTTTCTAGCACCGTTTCCGAATTTCTAGCACCGTTTCGGCATTTTCTAGCACCGTTTCGGCATTTTCTAGCACCGTTTCGGCATTTTCTAGCACCGTTTCCGAATTGCTAGCACCGTTTCGGCATTTTCTAGCACCGTTTCGGCATTTTCTAGCACCGTTTCCGAATTTCTAGCACCGTTTCGGCATTTTCTAGCACCGTTTCGGCATTTTCTAGCACCGTTTCCGAATTTCTAGCACCGTTTCGGCATTTTCTAGCACCGTTTCGGCATTTTCTAGCACCGTTACCGAATTTCTAGCACCGTTTCGGCATTTTCTAGCACCGTTTCGGCATTTTCTAGCACCGTTTCCGGAATTTCTAGCACCGTTTCGGCATTTTCTAGCACCGTTTCGGCATTTTCTCGCACCGTTTCGGCATTTTCTAGCACCGTTTCCGAATTTCTAGCACCGTTTCGGCATTTTCTAGCACCGTTTCGGCATTTTCTAGCACCGTTTCCGAATTTCTAGCACCGTTTCGGCATTTTCTAGCACCGTTTCCGAATTTCTAGCACCGTTTCGGCATTTTCTAGCACCGTTACCGAATTTCTAGCACCGTTCCGGCATTTTCTAGCACCGTTTCGGCATTTTCTAGCACCGTTTCCGAATTTCTAGCACCGTTTCGGCATTTTATAGCACCGTTTCGGCATTTTCTAGCACCGTTTCGGCATTTTCTAGCACCGTTTCCGAATTTTTAGCACCGTTTCGGCATTTTCTGGCACCGTTTCCGAATTTCTAGCACCGTTTCGGCATTTTCTAGCACCGTTTCCGAATTTCTAGCACCGTTTCGGCATTTTCTAGCACCGTTTCCGAATTTCTAGGGCGGTTTCGGCATTTTCTAGCACCGTTTCCGAATTTCTAGCACCGTTTCGGCATTTTCTAGCACCGTTTCGGCATTTTCTAGCACCGTTTCGGCATTTTCTAGCATCGTTTCCGAATTTCTAGCACCGTTTCGGCATTTGCTAGCACCGTTTCCGAATTTCTAGCACCGTTTCGGCATTCTTTCGTTTTACCATTTGCGTTGGACATTAGATTGGTCCTGGTTTTATGGCAAAATAAACGGCTGCATGTGTTGAAACCAACTTTAGGGTCATACTAATGTGCACTATCGTTCTCTCTGGCTCTCCCGCTGTCTATCTCTGCCCTGTCTCTCTCTCTCTCTCTCTCTCTCTCTCTCTCTCTATCTTTCTGTCTTTACATGTTAGTACAGGCACTCGTTTATGAAATAAAAACGCATGCATAATCACAGGCAGGGGATGGGCGAGTATAGGTTACAAAGAAAAGGAGGTGGGTCGCACGTCAGTGGTACAAGAGGTATTGGCACGTGACCTGGTCATCCGGGGGCTCAAATTCCATCGTCGGCTGTAATGCAGAAATAGATACAACAAAAAAAAATCGATACCGTGAACGATTCCCCGCTGGAGCCGCGCAGCACCGGGCCACAAAACTGAACGTGGTTTTTGGGGTTGAACTCGTCTCGATACTACCAGACGATCAATGGCCTTCTCGCGGGTGGGCAGCGAGATGGTACGGGGCCTGCTTCGACCACTGCTTCAGCGCGAGTTCCGCACGTTCCGTGGCGGCAAAACGCTGAAAAAAAAGATGAAAACGGGGGCGCAAGCAGCCCACATCCGTGATGATCCTGCTATTTTTCTTCGGCCACCGGTTGGCCTCCACATCCAAGGGATCGTCGCCGGCGAAGGCCGCTTGGATTCGCTTCTGGGCTTTGTTCGAGGCGGCGAAGAAGGCAGCGCACTCTTCACGGGTGCGCGACCTAAAGCCTGACATTGATTAGGCGGTTCTGGACTGTTAGCGCGGGGGAGAAACCACTTTTTGTTTTGCCACCTAACTGTAGACGATAGATATAAGCTGTTTTGAATAGGTTTTGTTTGATTGTCAAAAAGTTATCAAAAAAGTTTTAAAATTTTTGATATCATTGGTCATTTTGACACATTTTTGAAAAAAATAGCCAAAAATTTTCGACAATTTTAGTATTAGTATGTTTTTTTATCTAAAAACTATACCGCCAATCGCCATGAAATCGATTTGAGCTGCTTCGGCTTCAATCCAAGATTTTAAAGCTACTGGTAGAGTCGTGACGCCCTGCTGCGTGGTGTCATCGAGCGTATTGTTGCGTAGTTCGACTTTCTCGAGCTCATGTTATTTTCCTAGATCGGCCGGTCCTAGATAGACCGCCAGTCGCCATGAAATCGACTTGCAATACTTCCGCTTCAAGCCAAGACTTTTAAGCTACTCTCTCTCTCTCACACACTCTCTTTCTCGCTCTCTTTTGACACGTCAGTACCTGCACTCGTTTATTAAATAAAACGCACAAATAATCACAAGCAGGGAATAGGCGAGTATTGGTTAGAAAAAAGAGGATCGGTCTCATATCAGTAGGTCCAGACGTAGTGGTGCATGAACTGATCCTCCGGGGGCTCGAATTCCATCGTCGGCTGTAATGCAGAAACTAGATACAACAAAAGACAGGCCGATACCGTGAACGAATTTCCGCTGGATCCGCGGCGCACCGAACCATACAACTGAACGTGGTTTTCGGGGTTGAACGCTTCCTTGGTATTACCAGACGATCGATGGCCTTCTCGCGGGTGGGCAGCGAGTTGTACGGGGCCTTCTTCGACCACTTCTTCAGCGCTAGTTCAGCACGTCGCGTCGCGGCGAGACGCTGAAAAAAAAGATGAACACTTGAGCGCAAGCCACCCACATCGGTGATGATCTTTCGGCTTTTCTTCGGCCATCGGTTGGCCTCTACCACCTCGGGGTTATCGCCGGCGAAGGCCGCTTGGATTCGCTTCTGGGCTTTGTTCGAGGCGGCGAAGAACGCAGCGCACTGTTTACGGGTGCGCCACCTAAAGCCTGACTGATTGGGCGCCCCTGGACTTTGCGCGCGGGAAATTTTTAGCGGGGGGGGGGGAACGATTTCCACCTATACCTGTTGCTTACACAGGGTGTCCCAAAAAAATCCCCCCCCCCTAGCCGGCCGTAGACCTATCCGATTTTTACGATTTAGGTACCTATCGAAAGCTCTCGGAAGGCGAGTCCCGTGTTTCGAGCCCACGTTTTGCCAATTTTCGAAATCTCGGAATTTTTCTGTCATCCTACCTTATATAATTTTGGCGTGTAACTGTGTGTGTGTGTGTGTGTGTGTGGATGTCACTTTCAAGGCCCGATTTGAGGGCCTTCCCGTGCATAAAATGCTCTAATTCTCCGTCGCTTGGCGAAATCGACCCTTCTGCTTCCAATGGCGCTTTCAGAATTTTGCTAAAATACAAGTTTACAAAGTTAAAGCCGGTTTTATTCATTTTTGGGGGTAATTTGCATCATGTGAAAAAATAGAAATTTCTTCATTCTTGCCAGTTGCACGCGCGCGTGTGGTAGGCCGGGGGGTCCGAAGGACCCGAGCTATCGGAAAGTCAAATTTCTTATGCAAAGGCCGCATTCCAGCGCCCAAGGCCCGCGAAGCGGGTTTTGGGCGCTGGTTTACTAATGTTTTTGCAAGACGGGCGGATTTTCTGATGTTTTTCTGACCTCCGCGTTTTTTACAAAAATCACAATTTGAAAATTTTAATGCCTTTCCTGTCAGCCCAACGACGGCTTTTTGCAAGGCCTTCGCAAGAACAGAGCTTGGATCGCTTAAACCGGCAAAATTGCGTTTTGGTTAAAAAAAGCGGGTCCTTTTTGCATGAAAAATGCTGGAAAGAGCAAAAAATTTCGTGATTTCGAAAATCGGCAAGACGTGCTGGACTCGCCTTTACGAGAGCTTTCGATGGGTACCTAAATCGTAAAAATTGGATAGGTCTGCGGCCGACTTTTTTGGGACACCCTGCATATAATATATTTCTATAGTATTTTTGGTAGTTTTTCATTGCTAGAAAGTTGTAAAAATATTTTTAAAGTTTCGAAAATTTTTATTTTTTTGGCCATTTTCATGCATTTTCGGCCCAAAAATCAAAATTTTTCGAAAAACTTTATTACTCTTATATTGGGTTTATATCCAAAAACTATGTAGAATGCTATGAAAACGGTTTATATTTTGTTACGCGGCCGCGGTAAATCACTGGGAAAAATTGATTTCACCCCCGCTAACAGTCCAGCCCCGAAGAAGAGATTTAGATGGTGAGCGTACCGACCTGCGGAAGTTGTAGTCACAGCCGATGAGCAGAAAACTCGGCCCTTTCACACCGATCAGCAGGCCTTCGTGACTCTAAAATGAAGTGAAATTGTCGAATTGAACCCGGAACCAACTGACCCCTGGTCCTCGGCGAATCAGCCAGAATCCGCGCGACTCTTTGGCCCAGGCGATGCGGTACGGATCGATCTTTCCCTGGCACAGCTTGGCGGGCAGCTCACGCGCTCCTAAAGGTCGATAGTCCCAGCCGCTAATAAAATTGACTTCAGTTTTGATTTTAGCAGCTATACTTATGGCTGCTCGTTTCCCTCAAACGCGTTTGTGCAACTTTTTCCGGTTCTCTCGCATTATCGGGGGGGGGGACCCAGTTTGTTTGTAAAGGTCTAGAAATGCCTAGTAACTTAATAGAAAGTGTTTTAATAGTGTTTTTAGTGCTATGTAGCTACTTAACTACAAAAATAATGAAAATCTGCTAAAAAATTTCGAAATTTTGGCCGAAATCGGTCATTAAATTGCTTTTTTGGTATTTTATTAACAAAAATTTGTACAGTTTTGACGTCCAGGAAAAGTAAAAGCCCATTTAGAACACTTCCACCATTGATATTTGAAATAATGCGAAGGAACCTTTTTCCAGTAACAAAGAAAATTACGTACCAGGGCAGAGACGCTTCCAGCTGGTCCACAGAGGCGGAAGACCTTCTGCGGCCCACAACGTGATCAGCGCGATGTGGTCGATCTCACGCTCACGCCTCTGCCACTGCTGGAAAACAGAGTGTCGGCTCAATTTGGTCAATTAGGAGGCAAAGGTGCGAAGTCGGATGACCTGCACTGACCTCGATCAGGGTGTTCAGCGTGGCCTCCAAAGTGCTGTTGAGCTGCTTGACGAGAACCGGGTCGGGGGGTCCTCGTTTTTCATAATCTAAGGTGTATCCGGTTACTTTGTCCCACCCAACTTTTTGTATAACGCTAGAAATGCCTATTAAGTTACTTAAAGTGTTTTAAGAATTTTTATCAGGAATATCCTATCCTATAAGCGAGAAAAGTATGTCTGTTTTCTGTGCAGCCGATTTCTCGGCCGTCAGGCCGAATTTTGCGCTGATTTTTGGCATGGAAGTGGAGAAACACATCCTCTTTATAGGCATTTTTTTGTTTTTCGAAATTCCCTCATTTAAGGATTTTACAAGCAAAATAGTGGAAAACCCTTAACATTTTGGCCAAAAAAAGGTTTGTTCAGAGGATATCTCGCGATCCAAAAGGAATTCAGCGTTAATTTTTGGAGGTTAGATTGAAAATCGAATTCTCCCGATATATAATTTTGCGTTTTTTCAGATTTTGTAAAATAAAATTTTTATGTGCGTTTTTCTAAAAAGTCCTTAACAAAGTGTGCTGCGCGCCGTGGTGTTCAGTCCATAACTCGATGCCCATTTGGAATTTCGGGCTGGAATTTGGACAAATTATGTATTCGATAGTGGGGATCACGCGCATCTTATTATCGTTAGAAATTTTCAGCAGATTCAGACTCAAAGATCGAGTTTTGTAAAGTGACCAGGAGGTCACCCGCCCGGGATCATTGGGACGCCCTTTTCTTTGCCACCGCTCCCCCCGGCCTTCCCCAGAAAGAAGAGGCCTTTCAGGCCGCCCGTTCCCATCGTCCCTGTGGTGTAGTGGGTTGGCGCCCGGTCTACTAAACGTATGGTCAGGAGTTCGGGTCCTGGGAAAATCCAACTTTTTGCTTTTTGGTAGTTTAGCAACAAAACGTATTTCTAGGCTCTCGATGTGCGAGGTTTAGGCCTGACCGTCGCTCTTGCGCCGCAGGCCGAAGAAAAGGAGCTTGAACCAGGCTCTTGCGCCGCAAGCCAACGATGGGTCCTTGGCCCAGGCTCTCGCGCCGCAGGCCAACGATGGGTCCTTTGCCCAGGCTCTCGCGCCGCAGGCCAAGCTTGGGGGGGGATAACCAGTAACTAGCGCCTAATCCCCCAATTATCTTAGCGCTGCTCTCTCTCTGAAGCGGCAGTCCAAAGAATGGATCCTTGACTCAGGTACCTGCGCCGCAGACCCAAAAAAGAAGGTATTCAAATTCATGGTTTCTGGACGGGGTCCAGTGGAAAAGAGCCGCGAAGCGGTCTTTTTCCACTGGTTTTGAATAAGCCGAAATGTTGGTAAAAAAGCGGCCTTTTTTGGGCGAAAAATCGATATTTTTGAAAAAAATCATAAGGTTTTCATGTTTTAGAATAGTAAAAAACCATCTAAAAACACTTCTACTACTTATATTTCAAAAGTTAGTTCCCAAGAAAAAAAAAATTGCGCAAAAGGCCCAAAATGGCGTAATTTCCACAAATTTTCAACTTTTCAAAGTACAAAATCCACTGCAATTTTGTAATGTATTTTAGAAGCGACCTCGTTCCAATGTGAAATGCGCCGTAATCGCTGGGGTCTTCACGTCGACTAGCATAGCAATTTCCAGGGCTTCGTAGGCAAGAAGTAGCCACAGCTTTTTCAGACCCTGGAAAATCATGATTTGAAGGTATGGAGAGTAGAGAAGCACCGGGAGAATGGTTGTCACTTTTGTACAGCCGCGCGAAGTTCGCCCGCTTCCGCATCTTCCCCGACGTCGAGGGTCACGCATTGCGGCTCCAGTTCGACTGAAAAGGCTTGTAATCTCGAAATGGCCGGTGAAAGTCGCTTATCGGGCGGGGGGGGGTGACGGAGAAATAACGGGGATGGTGCCCAATCAAGCATGCCATCGGATAGAGCATCAAAAATTAAAGTAGCGCTTTAATTTCAGCTTTATTTCAGCTTCATTTAAAATTATTACTTTACCAGGGTTCTCCGCTTCGCGGCTTTTCAACCCTGGCCCCGTCTAGGACCGATGAAAGTCTTCAATTTGCATGCTTCTTCCCCAAAATATATCAGAAAAAAAGTGAAAAACGGCTCCTCTGTCGCTTTATATAGGCTATCCGACTTCCGGCTTATGCTAATTGATCCCTAACAAAGAGGATGGGCGAGAATTTTACAAAAATTTGTTTTTAATAGCGAAGATAGCAATTTTTCAAAGATTTTATGTGCGTGCAGTCGATTCCGGACCCTTCTTTACCTAATGACGTTTCTTCACTACCGAAAAAATGCTTCCCTGAGGCTGTAGGTGCGGAACATCCTCACGGAAGTTGCATGCAAATGCACACACACACACACAGACACTATTTTTTTATATATAGTAGGATAGTAGGATAGGATATAGCCAAAAAGTTTAATTAATTAAAAAGTTTTGTAAATAAGCTTTTTTCGGGCTGGAATTGAATCTCTTCGTATAATTTTTGACCCTCTATCCAATGGCATTTCCAAAATATGAGGATAGCTTTCGGAAATATAAAAATTGCTTCGACCGCGGAATGTACCTTTAAGCAACCTTTCCCCGAAATAGCCTACCCATCTGGGCGTAATGCTCTTCATTTGGGCGTGACAACATAACCGTGTGGGCTCGGATGGCCGGGGGGATTTTGTACTTGTCGGTGCTGGGAAGCTGCCACGCGGGGCCGACGCCGAGCTGAAAAGTGCGTTATAACCTGACTATGATTTTGAAGGTGCTTCCCTGTTAACGGGGGGAGTAATTCCGTATAGCCCTCGACCGAAATACAAACGATTTCTATAGTATTTTACGCCGTTTTTAGATACAACAACCTCATTAAAATTTTTGAAAACTTTTAGCAAATTACGATTTTTTGAAAACTTAATTTTTTTATAGCTTTTTAGCAATTAGAAAGCATTGTAAAAATACGCAAAGAATAAATAAAAAACAGGTAAGGGTTGGCGTAAAAATAAAAGTTAAATATGATACCTGATCGAAGGTGGCGTTGTTGAAGAGAATAAAAAAGTCCTCCGCGGCCACCTGTTCACGATCCACGCCTGGACGCAGATGGGTGCACCGATTCTCGTTGCACCAACGGTAATAGACGGCGCCGTATTGGTATCTAGACCAGCAACGTTCATTGGTTCCTGGACTGTTAGCGGGGGTGGCGGGGGGGCAAATTGTTGTTTGTTTTGTTTTTGACTGTCAAGAATTTATAAAAAATATTTTTACAAAGTTTAAATTTCGAAAATTTTGACCTTTTTTGGTCATTTTTCATGCTTTCATACACATACAAAAAGTGCCAAAATTCCGCACATTTTTATATTTTTGGCACCTAAAAACGGTGTAAAATGCTATAAAAATGGTTTATATGTTGCTATGGCACCGTAGAAAACCACAGGGAAAAATTTGGATTCGCCGTTGAAACCCCCCCCCCCGCGAACAGTCCAGCACCGTTCATTGGCCGCGCTTACCCGTATTCATTGCCGTACGCCAATAACGACTTCCGCTCGTCTTCCCACCAGGTGCGGGTCCTCGTCAGCTTGTACGCCCTGAAAACCGGGTTTTGAAGTCTCTGATCAACGCCGAGCTACTTCGCTTCCTCGATGTCGTCCTCAATTATGTGACACTCGACGAATTTGCTCCATCGTTTCGGCGACCTGGTGAGGTGGTCCTGAATTCCAGCAATTTATTCGGATGAGCAAGCGTTTCCGCATTATCGGGGGGTGAGTGTAGCCTAGAAACGCCCAGTAACGTAAAAGAAATCAACTATAATAAAAAAGTTGTGGTGTCTGTCCGTCTGAAGCCGAATTCAACTCGAAGGGGAAAGGAGCTAGAGCTTAGCTCTCTTCGGATTCGGATAGAGCGCGGTCAGAAACCCCCAAACTGATAAAAAAATTACGAAAAAGTTTTAGTTTAAATTATTAAAATTAACTTTGAAAGTTTTTCCTTAGTAAAAGGGGTGGGGGCTCCTCTCCCGGGCGGCCACGCCCCTTTTCCCTTCGCCCCTCTTCCCCAGGCCCCTTCCCGCGCCCAGATAGCTTTTTTAAGTCACTTTAATACTTTTTAATACTTTTTAATACTTTTTAATTATTTTAATTAATTATCTAAATCATCTAAAGCCATCGGGAAGGTATTTAGGTAGTTTTTGAAGGGGATTTCAGCCATGGGGGGTATCTGAACCCATCAGGAAGGTATTTAGGTAGTTTTTGAAGGGGATTTCAGCCATGGGGGGTATCTGAACCCATCAGGAAGGTATTTAGGTAGTTTTAGAAGGGGATTTCAGCCATGGGGGGTATCTGAACCCATCAGGAAGGTATTTAGGTAGTTTTTGAAGGGGATTTCAGCCATGGGGGGTATCTGAAGCGATCAGGAAGGTATTTAGGTAGTTTTTGCACGGGGTTTCGGCTATGGGGGGTATTGATGGAGGTGGGAAAGGATGTGGTGGAGTGGGACATGTAGGGTAGCCCGAAGTCCAGATGGTTGCAGTCGCGAAGCGACTGTAACCATCTGGTGTTTTTATAGAGTTATTAGTCGAATATAACTATATTTCAAAAAGAAAAAGGTAAGAGATTACTTTACCCCCCACAGCCGAAGGGTCCGAAAGTTGTCGGTATTTTCGCTTATTTTGTCGGGATTTTTGCAACTCCATTCGATAGAGCGTCGACAACTATATACTAACAAGGGAACCTCACGCGGACGTGGTGGAATTTCGGAAAACGCTCGCGGCTACCCCCGGGTAATCGGTCATTGCGATCACGATGCGCTTGTCAGATTTTTCTAAATACACCTGTGGACAGAGATACAGCACTTCCGGAAAATGAGGAATTTGAATGCGGGATTTGCATGACCAGTTATGGGTTCATAAAGCCCTCTGAACTTCCAGAAAGCACCGGTTGAATGGCCGAGTGGAGAAGAGATACCGGTATTAGGTGAAGGGTCAGAGGTTCGGTCTCGCTCCGCTGCTGGCTTTTTACTTTTTAGCACAAAAACAACTTTTCAAATTTTTTTCAGGCTTCGCTTGCAAAGTTTTTTGCTCTATTACTCATGTTTTAAGAGGAAGAGAAGAGAGAAGAAGAGAGAGAGAGAGAAGAGAAGATACTCATGAAGATTGAGATTAAGAGAGAAGAAGATATCTTAAGAATATCGGCTTCCGTATAAATTACCAGATGGTTACAGTCGCTTCGCGACTGCAACCATCTGGCCTTCGGGCTACCCTACATGTCCCACTCCACCACATCCTTTCCCACCTCCATCAATACCCCCTAGCCGAAATCCCCGTCAAAAACTACCTAAATACCTTCCTGATGGCTTCAGATACCCCCCCATGGCTGAAATCCCCTTCAAAAACTACCTAAATACCTTCCTGATGGCTTCAGATACCCCCCATGGCTGAAATCCCCTTCAAAAACTACCTAAATACCTTCCTGATGGCTTCAGATACCCCCCATGGCTGAAATCCCCTTCAAAAACTACCTAAATACCTTCCTGATGGCTTCAGATACCCCCCCATGGCTGAAATCCCTTCAAAAACTACCTAAATACCTTCCTGATGGCTTCAGATACCCCCCATGGCTGAAATCCCCTTCAAAAACTACCTAAATACCTTCCTGATGGCTTCAGATACCCCCCATGGCTGAAATCCCCTTCAAAAACTACCTAAATACCTTCCTGATGGCTTCAGATACCCCCCCATGGCTGAAATCCCCTTCAAAAACTACCTAAATACCTTCCTGATGGCTTCAGATACCCCCCATGGCTGAAATCCCCTTCAAAAACTACCTAAATACCTTCCTGATGGCGTCAGATACCCCCCATGGCTGAAATCCCCTTCAAAAACTACCTAAATACCTTCCTGATGGCTTCAGATACCCCCCCATGGCTGAAATCCCTTCAAAAACTACCTAAATACCTTCCTGATGGCGTCAGATACCCCCCATGGCTGAAATCCCTTCAAAAACTACCTAAATACCTTCCTGATGGCTTCAGATACCCCCCCATGGCTGAAATCCCCTTCAAAAACTACCTAAATACCTTCCTGATGGCTTCAGATACCCCCCATGGCTGAAATCCCCTTCAAAAACTACCTAAATATCTTCCTGATGGCTTCAGATACCCCCCATGGCTGAAATCCCCTTCAAAAACTACCTAAATACCTTCCTGATGGCTTAGATACCCCCCCATGGCTGAAATCCCCTTCAAAAACTACCTAAATACCTTCCTGATGGCTTCAGATACCCCCCCATGGCTGAAATCCCCTTCAAAAACTACCTAAATACCTTCCTGATGGCTTCAGATACCCCCCATGGCTGAAATCCCCTTCAAAAACTACCTAAATACCTTCCTGATGGCTTCAGATACCCCCCCATGGCTGAAATCCCCTTCAAAAACTACCTAAATCTTCGCCAAAACCTTGCACTGCGCCGTCACAGGCCAAGCAGGATGCTGCCACCACACCCGGCAAGCCAGAGATCGCAACGGTATTTTTTTTTAGTTTTTATTTTACCTGAACAGACGTTGTCGATACGCAATCTCGCGTGACTTCTCCTTTGAGGACCTAGAGGACCTGTTCTTTAGGATTGCGGCGCACAACTTTTTTCGCCGCAAGCCTAAATTTTTTTATAAACAGTGGATGCATTTCAGCGTAGCTTTTAGCTATTCCTAAGCATAAAAACTTGCAGATTTCATTAAAAATATAATTATAGGTAGAATTTTTTTCGAGCCAAAAAAGTGAAAGTTTGGACTTTTCAAACACTTGTCTAACTTTTTTTGAACATTTTTCTACTTTAGATATATTTAAAACGTATTAAAAACAATGCAAAAAACACTTTCTTTTTGATTAAGGCCAACCGGGACCACCAGGAAAAAACATTGGTTTAGGCTGAGGTGCCGCCGGCCGAATCTGCGCTCATCTCATGCCCAAATTGCCATGCACGTATTCAGCCTAAACCCAGGAAGGTACTGTCTGGACTAATTGTAAGCGTGTTGAGACCCCGGATTGCCGTAATTCCCTAGACACTCTACTTTCAGAATCCCCCCGACACCCTCATCTCCATCGAGCAGTTCATGAAAATGCCGCTCCCCATCTGGCTGGCCCTGCTGAACCAGTTCAGCCCGCTCGACATGCTCAACCTGGCCGCCGCGCACCCGTTTTTCAAGGTAACCGCGATAATCAGTACCGCTTGCCATGATGCCAATTTTGGTTCTTTTCCATTATCGGGGGGAACCAACTGTTTTCTTAGGATCTAATTTTTGAAATACATATAGTGCAAGTATTTCTAAATGGTTTTTGCTTTTCCTAAACGTAAAAACTTTGCAAATTTGTATTACAAAATATAAAAAAATCGATTTTCGACCAAAATTCGGCTTTTTAAAAGATTTTAGATAGTTTTTCTTGGCTACGGTTTACTTGACCCCCCCCCCCAGCCGGAAGTTTTTGGCTATAACTTTTTTATTTTACATTATTGTAGGCTCAAATTAAAACTCTTACAAGGGAACCTCACGCGGACGTGGTGGAATTTCGGAAAACGCTCGCGGCTACCCCCGGGTAATCGGTCATTGCGATCACGATGCGCTTGTCAGATTTTTCTAAATACACCTGTGGACAGAGATACAGCACTTCCGGAAAATGAGGAATTTGAATGCGGGATTTGCATGACCAGTTATGGGTTCATAAAGCCCTCTGAACTTCCAGAAAGCACCGGTTGAATGGCCGAGTGGAGAAGAGATACCGGTATTAGGTGAAGGGTCAGAGGTTCGGTCCCGCTCCGCTGCTGGCTTTTTACTTTTTGGCACAAAAACAACTTTTCAAATTTTTTTCAGGCTTCGCTTGCAAAGTTTTTTGCTCTATTACTCATGTTTTAAGATTATGTTTTCAAGTTACCATAATTTAAATCTGCATTTAATATTAAAGACTTTATTTGTCAAAATAAATGTTTTCCATTCGACCCGAGATGACGGCGCCGCGAATCGTCTCGGCTTTGGTAGCAGCCTTCGGAACGGCTCCTGACGACACGCCGCTGTCGCGCAAGGAACGGAAGGTGATGGAGGCCATCGCCCGTACGCTACGAGAGATCGAATATGCATCAATCGACATTGCTGAAGAGGAGGAGACCCTCGAAAACAATGAGGCGGAGGCGGTGGACCCGAATTGGAACGGCGAGGATGATAATGTAAAACAATCTTCCGGATACTTGGACGCACTGACGGCGAAGCAGTTTGGGTCACGGCGGGTGACGGAAGATCAGGTATGTAACGCATGCCCTAAAAAATTTTTTTTAGTTGAGGGCGGCTCTGAAACACTACCGGGAACCGAAGAAAGGCCATCGCGGCCTAGCCTCCATGACCAGCCGCTTTAATTGGATCCAAAAGCCGAGCCACCTCAACGCGCTTCGGCAATATGAGAAGACGCTGTTGGTCTACTGTCTCCACGATAGCCGCAAGCAGCTGCTCAAGCTGCTGAAGGAGAAATGCACCACGCACCTGGAAAACGGTATAAAAAATGCATTTAAACCAAAGAGACCGTGAAGTCTGTATCTAACATAGCGCCATCCCTTTAAAAACCCGAATAGATTTGTACTTTGCAGGCCACTCTCTGCACGACTTTGAGTTGCGAAGCATGGCCCTACAGATCAACCGTGAAACCACGAAAATCCCTGGCTTCACCGCATCCGAGAGCTGGATTCTCAAGTTCAAGCGATTTGCCGGCCTCGTCTCCCGCCGAATCACAACATTCACCACGATCCGAAATTTCCGGTCTCAAGACGACATCAGAAGGAAGGCTGACGAGCTCGTCGAGAAAATCAAGCACGAGATCCAATCCGGAAGGCTGGCTCTGTATCAATTGGCAAACGCAGACCAATCCGGGATTCAAAAGGAGCTGCACGCGATGCGATCACTGGCCTTTAAAGGAGAGAAGAAGGTGGTGAGGCTCGTCCAATCAGCCACCGCCACGACTCACTCGTACACCATCATGCCTCTGATGTTCGCTGATGGAAGTCTGGCCGAGAATTTGCTGGTGGTGATGGCTGAAAAAGGAGGTCAATTCCCGACTAACCGGCCCCCGTTCCAAGCCGACAACTTGATTTTAAGGTAAAAAACGATGAATTTCAATCATCCCCTTTTCAGGGCCTCTACTTCACACATAATGACCAAGCCATTGATGCTCGAATGGTTCCAACAGATCGTGCACGGACCAGGATCTCCAGATGACGTGACACTGCTGTGCGACTCCTGGACTCCATTCCGCGACACAGCCTCCATCCAAGCCCAAGTTCCTGCCGGGAAGAGCCTTGAAGTCCACATCATTCCCCCAGGAGCCACTTCACTAATCCAACCATGTGACAAATTTTTTTTCTGTCCCTGGAAGTGTTTCGTAAAAAAACTGTCGAACCATGTGATAATCTTTGAAATTGGTTTTTCTCTCCAAAAGAGAGACAACATTATTCTTATGGTGTCCCAAGTCTATTATGTGTTTCGGGCCCCAAGGTTCAAGCCGTGTTGGCAAGGTTCCTGGATTTCAGCCGGCTTTCTCGATCTTCCCCCCAACAAATGCGCCCACCCCATCCGATTATTGTTTTAATGTAGACCCTCTAGCTATTTGTGATGATCCGAATTGTACCAACTCCGCCCTGCTAAAATGTCCCTATTGTGATAAGCATTTCTGTTTCCAACATTTCGTGGTCGACTATCATCGTTGTTGAACCAAGTTGTAGATGGCGAGTACGATCGGCCGAATCATGACCCGGAACAAGAAGACGCCCTCGGGGCGAGGCGGACGAGTACAATATGGTTTTCCCCCCGGTCACCAATATCTGAAGGATTCCGATATCCGGATTCAAAATTGCTATTTAGCTATTCCGTATGCAAACATACAGGAGCGCATACTATCTCCAATCTCGCTCACTGGGGCGAAGGTACGAGTGAGTGACTGAGTAAGCAAGAGGCAGAAAGAGAGAGAGAGAGAGAGAGAGAGAGAGCGAGAGAGAGAGAGGGGGGAGGGAGAGAGCGAGAGAGATATTCTTATTTTACTTTAATGTTGTCCCCCATGAAAACGTTTTCCAAATTTGCTAACCGTGTGCCTAACGGGTTCAAAATTCAGTTTATTCGGACAAAATTGTGCTTCCTCTCTGATAAACACTCTATCTCTCTCCCACTCTCTCTCACTTTCACCCTCTCGCCCATTCACTCTCTCTCTCTCTCGCACTCGCTCTCTCTCAATCTCTCGCTCTTCCACTCTCACTCACTGTCACTCTGTCGCTCTATCTCTCTTTCTCTCTCTCTCACTCTCTCTCTCTCTCTATTCAATCTCTCTCAACCATTCACTCTTTCGCCCTATCCTACTATATATAAAAAAATAGTGTCTGTGTGTGTGTGTGTGTATATTTGCATGCACTTCCGTTAGGATGTTCCGCTCCTACAGCCTTGGGGAAGGGTTTTTTGGATAGGGAAGAAACGACAATAGGTTTAGAATGGTCCGGAATCGACTGCACACACATAAAAATTTTGAAAAGTGGCGGTTTTCGCTATTAAAAATAGGTTTTTGTAAAACCCTGTTTGTTAGGGGAAATTAGCATACGCCGGAAGTAGGAAGAGCCTATATAAAGGGACAGAGGAGCCGTTTTTCACTTTTTTTTCTTGCTAGAATTCAGGAAGAAACATGCAAATTAAGGACTTTCACAGGTCCTGGACGGGGCCAGGGTTGAAAAGCCGCGAAGCGGTTTTTCAACCCTGGTCTCTCTCTCAATCTCTCACTCTCGCTCCATATAACTCTCTCTCGCTCTTTCTATCTTATTTTTTTTCCGTATTTAAATGAAGCAAATAAACGCTGATTTAAATCATTTTTACGGCATGAGGGATTCACAGCTAGAAGTCAATGTAAAGCGTTGGGAAATCCAAAAGAGCCGAGGAATTTGCTGACGTACTAGGGAAAAGAAGCATGTGCCTTTTTATGCCTATAGCCCTATGGGCGCAGAGACATTTTCTTTCCCGCGCGTAATCGATTGACTTATTCCGCCCCTATCCCTTTAACTAATATAGGAAATTGTAATTTTGGGTTTTTGTCATTTGGTGGCTGATAACTATGGTCCAGTTTTGTGACCGATTAGATGGAAGGCGGCCAAATGCGGGATGAGGCGTTTTTTGTGACGCTCTGTAAATGCTCTTGGCAGATTCCTGGTGTTGCTCAGTTTATTCGAATCAAGAGAGCTCGTTAAAAAGGGTTAATCGGTTAGATTGCTTTGTGGATCCCATCTGGCGCATCGTCACCATCAGGCCGCCAATGTTTCTAAAGATGTTTCTAGCGTCAAGATAACTCGCCAAACAATACTGAAAATCCCGAAAAAATAGCTTGCCAAGCCCTTTTTCAGGGTTTATTTTGGTTTTGTTTTGACGTTCTTAAATTACTGTGTTTTGATCTAAAATTAAAATTTTTAGTATCTTTTGAGGCTCTACCGGGTCGCGATGATGATGTAATTCCCCCCAAAAAATGGAATATTGCAAAATCTACGACACTGAATTGTCCCTACCCCACGCGATAAACCTCCCCCCACTAACGAACCAGAACCGGAAGAACATATACCTAGGTGGCCGGTCGCGTTTGGGAAACTTTTTAATTGAAGTTTTTCGTTGATTCCTCGTCCCGAACGGCTGTGGCTACTGCCGCAGCCCACGCGGTATATGCTTAGGATGGCTTATTTTCAAAATGTCGAAATTTCATAATGTCGAAATTTCATAATGGCGAAATTTCATAATGTCGAAATTTCATAACGTCGAAATGTCAGAATGTTGAAATTTACGTAAACTAAAATTCCCGGTAAAGTCCCCGAATTCTAGGCAAAAAAATGTTGTCGTGAAATAAGATAAAAAATAGAATGTGGAAAAAAATTTTTTGGCTGGGATTTGGCGGTTTCACCGGTAATTTTAGCCTATGTAAATTTCGACATTCTGAATTTCGACATTATGATTTTCGACATTATGAATTTCGACATTATGATTTTCGACATTATGATTTCCGAATTATCATACAAAATCGCTTAGAATATATCCAACTACTTACCCTAATTTTTCCAAATTGGCCCATTGCTGTACAGTCAGGGTCTGCAACTTTGTGGCATTTGCATCCTTGTTGGCCGCGTCCTTGAACCGCTTCAAAAACGTGTCGACGATGGAACTGGTGATTTTCGTGTCGTCTGAAATTTGGAAAAAAGATCATGGACGATGAGAAGTTGAGGATTTTCAAAATTGCGCACCATCAAGGCTTCTGGCTTCCTCCAAGCCGAGCGTGACGTTATGGAGCTGGAGCCCGAGCCTCGTAAGCGCGGCGCCTAGATCTACTTCCTGCTGCCCTGCGGCGAAGAGCAGGCGGTTCAGTTCTGTCACACGGACATCGTTTTGTAGCCTGCAAAGAGTTCACTTTGCATAATTAAAAATTCAAGATGACCCAGCTTTCATGAGGATTCCAGAAATAACGTCAGAATTTTGAGATTCAGGCGCTTTCACGTCCAAAAATAAGAAAAAAGATTATTCGGCGCGGTCGCGTTGCGGGCGCATCTGGCTATTTGCCAGGAATCAACGCAGGGGGCCGCGGACCAGATTTCGGGCCTCTTTAACCAAAAAGGAAAGAGTGACAAACCGCTTTTTTGGGCCGATGCTCCTCCCTTCCGACCGAACGTTATTCTGAGGGCGTCGCAAGGCCCCGTTCCTCGTAGCGAGCGCCAAAATATGCCTCCTTGTTCGCCAAGCATCTTCTCGGCGACATCGAAATTTCGCCAGATTTTGGTTCATGGCCGTGCGCTCCTATAAAATACATAATTTTTAAAAATTTCAGAGATAAATCTCTACTCGGTGTCCTACAAAAGCACCCCCTAGCGTTCCGGCAGATTCAGACCATTCGAAAGCTCTCAGAAAGGCCGGAACGCAAGCGGCTTCCGTTTCGAAGATTCGATCCGGAAACGTTAATCGAAGAAAAACAAGCAATTTTGCCATAGACATTATGTAATTAGCAGGCAGATCTCCATAAATCAACAGTTTTCATGATTTTTGGACGTGAAATTCGCCAATCAAAATACATGGCAAAGAAAAATAAACGCTCCTTGTTTTCTCGTCTTTTTGAGAGCTTTCGACAGATACCTAAATCGTGACGATCGGAACCTTGTGAGTTTCAAAACGCGCAGTTAAATCGCTGCTTACAATGGCCTACCTTTTCTATCATGTTCCTTATCTCCTTTCATTATCTCTTCTGAAGTGTAAAGAAATTGGAGCTTTGGTCGTCACCGTTTTCGCAATCTGATAAAGATTCGGTGTATTTCCAGTTGTCCAGAAGGACCAGTTTTGAGCTTTGGGCCGGGACTAGGCGTATTTGGTACAGAATTTTCCGCTGGTTTTTAAATGGTTGGTTGCTTTTTAAAAATGTTTGAATGGTTTTTAAAAAGCTGTTCAGAGCCGAAAAATTCGGAAACTACCTAAATGGAATGGTTTGGATTCCTCTCAAGGTCTTGAGAATCAGATGAAGCCTAAACCCTAGGCAAATCGGGCTCAAAAAATGTACTTTCGAATATATGTATATGTAGTTTATCCCAGTCAACTTTTGCAAAAATTGGCTCGCGTTTATGATGAAAACCAGCCCGTTCAACAGAATGTTACTTGAGATCTAGAGTGTCCCACCAAAAACCGGCCCAAAAGCTGTTGGTAAGACTTTACTTTGCCCCCCCCCACAGCCGAAGGGACTCAAAGTTGCGGTATTTTCGCTTATTTTGTCGGGATTTTTGCAACGCCATTCGATAGAGCGTCAGAAAATATACTAAGAGTTTTGATTTGAGCCTAAAATAATGTGAAATAAAAAAAGTAATAGCCAAACATTCCGGCTTCGCGTGGGGGGGGGGGAAAGGGAAGTGTAGCCAAGCCAAGCTGTTTTTACTATCGTGCTGCATAAGTCTGTATCCATAGCCCTTGAGCGCTATCCAAAAAAATTGCTTACCTTTTTTGAGGAATCATTTTTGACCAGCTTTTTCCCATCATTTCTTCGTAGAGGTGCGGCTAATGTCCTCTCTACGATGATCGTTGCCTGGAATTTTTGACAAAAATGGTATCGTGAAAGGAAGGTTACCAGCAGTAGCGACTTTTCGGTCACCGCCATGCTGTGTGCGTAGGGACTCGCCATAAGCACAGTTGCGAACGAGGTCACCGGCAGATGATGGACGAAGACGATGGATGACACCTCAGTCTCGGGGGGATCTATAAGCATTAAATGCTTGTGACATCCTCATCAGAAATCATCTTGGCTTGGTGGGTGGGCCAAGGAATGGAGCGCGTTGTACGGCATTACGACATATTTATTACATACCCAAAATAGGGTTCTTTCGCATTATCGAGGGGAACCAACTTTTTTCCTAGGATCTAATTTTCCAAATATGAATAGTGGAATTGTTTCTAAATGGTTTTTACTATTCCTGGACGTCAATCACATACAAATTTGTACAAAAAAAATAAAAATATCAATTTTTCGACCGAAAATGGCCGATTTTCCATACTATATTAGCCGAGGAGGTGCCAACAGTTCGGCAAGAATCGTTCAAAATGGCTCACCGAACTTTTAAAATTTCGTTTGCCTTCATGGTGAACCTTCACGAACTGTTTTTTTTTCTGAAAAGCACCTAATGGCTGTTTTTACTGGATCAACGAACCTCGATTTTTTTCAGTAGTCAGTTTTCCTCTTGTATAAATTTTTAAGACGATAGGCCGGTAGTCGAGCAGCTCGACACCGGCGTATGGTCGCCACGTTGAAGGAGGCGGGCATGTTTTTGGAAAATCATCCAGGTTGAGGCCGGAGCCTGAAAATGAAGAGGTAGCCACTAAATAACGAAAGCAGACTGAGAGTGAAAGATCAGAGAATCGGAGAAAAAGAGAGAGAAGGAGGGACAGGGATGAGAGAGAGAGAGAGAGAGAGAGCGAGCGAGCGAGCGAGCGAGCGAGAAGCTTCTCGTAAATATTTTCAAACACTGCTTAAGAAAAGGAAGTGCAGCGCAAATGATATAGAGTATGATAGGATATAGAAAAAGGGTTGATATTTTGGTTATAGGGCCGTAGAGGGTAAGACTCCAGATAACCCCCCCCCCCAGCCGGCACCCAACTTTTGTATCTCGGCTCCCTGTTCATCTACAGGTGTGTAAAGTATATCAAAATGTTTGTCTTGCTGTGGCGAGTATTTTCGTATACTTTACACACCTGTAGGTAAACAGGGAGCCGAGATACGGTAGGTGAGGGTCGGCTGGGGGGGGGGGGTTATCTGGAGTTTAGCCCCGTAGAGGCCTACAAGGAAAATTTTAAGTTCTCCTTACTAACAGACTCCTCTAACAGACCAGCACCGATAAGTCCAACAAAATATTTTGACGATCATTTGATGATCTCCATCATCCCACCTGCGGAAGTTGTAGTCGCAGCTGATCAGCAGGAAGCTGGGCCCTTTCACACCGATCAACAAGCCATCGCGACTCTGGAAAGTGAACTCGTCGAATGGAACCGGTGATCAACTGACCCCTGGTCCGCGGCGAATTAGCCAGAATCCGTGCGATTCCTTGACCCATTTGATGTAGTGCGGGTCGGTCTTGCCCTCGCACAGCTTGGCCGGCATCTCGCGGGTTCCTAAACTTCGATAGTCACAGAGTCGCAGTCACATAAAATGGATTTGATACTAAAATTTGTATTACCCACAACTGGGCGTGCGGCTAGTTTCTCTCAACCGCGCTTATGTAACGTTTTGCGGTTCTTTTGCATTATCGGGGAGGGGGTGGGGGCGAAGGGGCAGGTATATTTCAACTAATTCACGAAAACTAAACTAAATAAACTAAACTAAATTCACGATCCCTTGTGAAAACACCGTATAAACGCTGTTTTTGCTATAACTATTTTATAAAACAACCAGGGTTGAAAATCCGCTTCGCGACTTTTCAACCCTGGCCCCGTCTTGGACCGCATGATGTTCTACGCTTTGCATAATTGCGCTGAACTCAGATGACCAAAAAAATGAAAATGATTCGCTTCTGACCCTTTATCTAGGAGATTTCCTACTTCCGGTCAATGTTAATTTTTCCTAGCGAAGATGGTTTTACAAAAACTTAAATTTAATATCGAAAATGGCTGATTTTTATTAGTAGGATATTTTTAGCTGAAATTAAAACTCTTAGTATATTTTTCGATGCTCTATCGAATGACGGGTTCAAAATATCGAAAAACCGGCGAAAATGCCGAAAACTAACATTCCGACACTATTTTCAATAGTTTTTTGTTTTGTTTTTGCTATAACTTTTTTTTAGCTAAAACAAAACTCTTAGTATATTTTTTTGATGCTCTATCGAATGGCGTTGCAAAAATCCCAAGAAAATAGCGAAAAGATGGAAGTTTCCGCGAAGCATTCAATTCATAAAATTCATAATAAGCCATTCATAAAAAAAAACATTCAAAAAATATACTAAGAGTTTTAATTACAACTCAAAATAGCTTCATATAAAAGAGTTATAACAACCGAAGAACTTCCCCCCCCCGCACAGTCCCCCCCGCGAAAGAGAACAGAACCCTCCATTTTTTCGCGTAATTTATGTAAAGTGTACACACACGCACACACACACAGATACTATTGTTTTATATATAGTAGTTTATATATACATTGTAAATTTTTAACGTTCAGGAATAAAAATTTAGAAAGAGAAAAACCATTTGGAAATATCTCCACAATTTATATTAAAACCAGCGGGGGATGAGCCGCTTCGCGACTCTCCCCCGCTGGACCCCGTCTAGGCCCTATTAATCGAGCGCCCTTCCACATAAAGTTACCTTAAAGAAAGAAAAACCCATCTTCCATGCAAACCTCTTTGTATTGATATGCGGCGCAAGCTTGAAATTCTAGTCTCGTTATTAGGCTTGCGGCGCACGTTTCATCGGCTAGCCTCGTCCTGCGGCTCAAGCTTGAGGGATTAGCTTCCTTTTTTGACCTGCGGTTTGCGGTTTGCTTCGAGAGAAAGCCTGCGGCGCAAGTTTGAGCGGTTACCTCCTTCTTTAGGCCTACGGCGCTAGCGTCGATGGTTGGCTTTATTCCTTTGCCTGCGGCGCTAGCTTGTGCTGCTAGCTTCGTTCTAAAGCCTGCGGCGCAAGATTGTGAGGTTAGCTTCATGCTTAAGCCTGCGGCGTAAGTTTGTTGGGCTAACTCTTTCCTTAAGCCTGCGCCGCGAGCTTCAGATTCAGAGACCTTCTTCCTTCCTAAGCCTGCCGCGCAAGCGTGAGGGGTTAGCCGATTCATTGGCCTGCGGCGCTAGCTTCAGCGGCTAGCTTTGGTCTAAAGCCTGCGGCGCAAGCTTGAGAGGGTAGTATCATTCTTTAGCCTGCAGCGCTAGCTTGTCCGGCGAAAACCATTCTAAAGCCTGCGGCGCTAGCTTGTGCGGCTAGCTTTGCTTTTTGGCCTGCGGCGCCAGCTTGAGCGGTTCGCTTCGTGATAAAGCCTGCGGCGCGAGTTTGAGTGGTTACCTCCTTCCTTAAGCCTGCGGCGCTGGCTTGTGCGGCTAGCTTCGTCCTAAAGCCTGCGGCGCTAGCTTGTCCGGCGAAAACCATTTTAAAGCCTGCGGCGCTAGCTTGTGCGGCTAGCTTCGTTCTAAAGCCTGCGGCGCTAGCTTGTGCGGCTAGCTTCGTTCTAAAGCCTGCGGCGCTAGCTTGTGCGGCTAGCTTTGCTTTTTGGCCTGCGGCGCAAGCTTGTGCGGCTAGCTTCGCTTTTAAGCCTGCGGCGCTAGCTTGTGCGGCTAGCTTCGTTCTAAAGCCTACGGCGCTAGCTTGTGCGGCTAGCTTTGCTTTTTGGCCTGAGGCGCAAGCTTGTGCGGCTAGCTTCGTTCTTAAGCCTGCGGCGCAAGCTTGTGCGGCTAGCTTCGTTCTAAAGCCTGCGGCGCTAGCTTGAGCGGCTAACTTCGTTTTAAAGCCTGCGGCGCTAGCTTGAACGGCTAACTTCGTTTTAAAGCCTGCGGCGTTAGCTTGAGCGGCTAGCTTCGTTCGAAAGCCCGCGGCGCAAGATTACGCTTCCTTAGCCTGCGGCGCAATTTTGAACGGCTAATTTCCTTCCGAAGCCTGCGGCGCTAGCTTGATTCCTAGGCCTCCGGCACATGCTTTGGGGGGTAGCTTCATTCTATAGACTGCAGCGCAGGTTTGATTGACTAATTTCATGAAAACGTCCCTACACGGAAATCCACTCCGCAACACACTTTCCGAGCAAAAAGCAAAACAACTACGATATCCGAGGATCGAACCTCCGCTGGTTAGATTAGTATGGCAAAGCGCGAACCACTACACCATGCAATGCTTGCCAGCACGCGCCAAAAACCCTTTTTGGGCATTTCCCGGGGCAGGGGAAGAAAAAGCATCGAGAGGCAGATCCAAAAAGACGACCAAACTCGCGAGTGCAACTGGCAAGAATGAGAAAATTTGTATTTTTTCACATTATGCAAATTAGCCTGCCTGGACCCCCAAAAATCAATAAAACCGGCTTCAACTTTGTAAACTTGTATTTTATCAAAATTCTGAGAACGCCATCGGAAACAGAAAGGTCGATTCCCCCGGGCGACGGAGAATTAGGGCATTTTATGCACTGGAAGGCCCTCAAATCGGGCCTCGAAAGTGACATCCGCACACACACACACACATACGCGCCAAAATTATATAAGGTAGGAAAATTCGATCCAAAGAAAAAAGTTGGTCCCCTCGATGATTCGACAAAAGAACTCTTTTTGCCAGCAAAACATCACAATTACGTACCAGGGCAGAGATGGGTCCAGTTGGTCCGCATAGACGGCAGCCCAGCAGCTGAGACCATTTTCCACAGTGCGATCAGCGCGATGTTGTCTATCTCCCGCTCACGACGCTGCCACTGCTGAAAAACAGAGCGTCCGCTGGATTTGGTTAATCAAGGCAAGAAGGCGAAGAGACCAGCATCGCATGACTAGCGCCGACCTCGATCAGGGTGTTCAGCGTCGTCTCCAGGGTGTTGTTGAGCTGCTTGAGAACGTCGGGATCGGCGGGAAGTCCTCGTATAAAAACTAAAGTGGACTCAATAAGGAAATAAACCCTTTTTAATGGCTGCTTACCGCGTTTTACGTGGGAAATCAATAAAATTATGGCTCTTCTGCATTATGGGGGACCGAACTTTTATGTATTATATAATTCTAGTAATTCCTATTAAATTCATAGAAAGTGTTTTAATCGTTTTTTTGCTTAATATATTTCGACTAGAAAAACTATCCAAAATTTTAAGAATGCTGAAAAAAGTCGAATTTTGGCAAAACAAAAATCGATATTTTTAATAAAAAATGACAAAGTTTAACGTTTAGGAGTGGTACAAAACCAGTTACCAACACTTCCTCTATTTATGTTTGAAAAGTTGGATCCTAAAGAAAAAAGTTGAGAAAAGGCCCAAAATGGTCCAGTTTCGGCAAATTTTCATTTTTCAAATTTTGAAAGTTTCTAAAAACCTTTTAATGAATTTTGTAAGTCAAAAACCACCAACACGATATATTGTTGCTAGATTAGATGGCTGCCCCTGTCCACCCCGCACCAACAATCCACAATCAACCAACCTTCAAGCAGTGCGAATTGGGCCGTGATCGCGGGGGTCTTCACGTCGACGAGCATGGCGATTTCCGCGACTTTGTAGGGAATTAGCAGCCACAGCTTTTGCAGACCCTGGGAAAGCATAATTTCAAGGTATGGAGACAGAGTAGCACCGGGAGAATTGATGTCACTTTTCGTACAGCCGCGCGAAGTTTTCCAGCACCATCATTCCCGACGTCCAGGGTGACGCATTGCGGCTCCAATTGGGCTGAAAAGACTTGTAAGGTATCGTCCTGGAAATGATCTGGTGCTGGTGCGTTAACGGGGGTTGGGGGGGGGTTAACGGAGGGGGGCATTTTTTGCCAATAGCTTCCCTGGTAAGAGTTTACTTCACCCCCGCACAGCCGAAGGGTCTCAAAGTTTTCTGTATTTTCGCTTCTTTTTGTCGGGATTTTTTGCGGCGCCATTCGATAGAGCGTCGAAAAATATGCTACGAGTGTTAATTTGAGCCTACAATGATGTAAGATCAAAAAGTTCTAGCCAAAAACTTCCGGCTGGGGGGGCAAAGTATACCATAACCTCTTCGCTCATCTTAAATGATTTTATTTGAGCTGTATATACAAAACCTTAGCAAATTTTTTGATGATTGCAAATCACGAAAAAATAGCTTGCCAACCGCATTGCAGCGTTATTTTTGCTTTTTCTATGACGTTCTGAAATTGTGGCGGTTTGACCCAGAAATAAAATTTCTCGTAAATTTTTTGATGCGCTACCGGGTCGGGATGATGATGTAATTTCCAAAAAATTCGAAAAATTGCAAAATCTACAACATTAGCATTTCCCCCCGCTACTGAACCAGAACCCATGGCCTACCCATCTGGGCGTAATGCTCTTTATTTGGACTTGACAACATGACGGTGCGGGCGCGGACGGCTGGGTAGACCTTGTACTTGTCGGGCCCGGGCAGCTTCCACCTGGGGCCGACGCCGAGCTGAAAAGTACGTTACAACTTGGGGATGATTTTGATTGGACGGATTCGATGGTGCTTCCCTGTTAACGGGGAGGGGGTAATTTTTTCCCCGGTAATTCCGTACGTCAAAAATGTCTGAAAAATGGCTAACAAACCTCAAAAATTTCGATTTTTAAAGTTTTTAAAAAAGTTTTATAACTTTCTAGAAATTACTAAAAAGGCTGTAAAAAATACGCCATTGTCAGCAACAAGATAAGGGATAGACGTAGAAATAGAAGTTAACAGGGAAGCACCGCTTCGACATCTATCGTCGACTTTGTAATCTACCGCGTTAATTATGATACCTGATCGAAGGTGGCGTTGTTGAAGAGAAGAAAGAGGTCCCGCGCGGCCGCCCGTTCACGATCGACCTCTGGGGGAACATGGGTACACCGATTCCCTTCCCACCGACGCAAAGAGGCGGGGCCGAGTTTGTATCTATGCCAGCAACGTTCATTGGGTTCTAGGCTGTTAGCGGGGGGGGAGGGGGTTTAGCAGTGGGGAAACCACTTTTTTTTCAAACTGCGACTTTATACCTTCTACCTTCAACCTATATATATTTTTATAGTGTTTTTTTTTGCCGCTTTCGATTAACAGAGTTAGAAAAATTTTCGATTTTTCGAGATTTCGAAAATTTGTCCTTTTTGGTCGTTTTCCATACATTTTAGAACAAAAAATTGAAAAATTGTGCGCACATTTTTATTTTTATAGTATTTTTATATCTAAAAACTATGTAAAATGCTATAAAATGGTTTACATTTTGTTATAGGTCTTCAGTGAAACACAGGGAAAATTCGTAACCCCCCCCCCGCTAACAGTCCAGAACCGTGCTTCGGCTACGCCGTATTCGTTTCCGTAGGCCAACAGCGTCTTCCGCTCGTCTTCCCACCAGGTGCGGGTCCTCGTCAGCTTGTACGCCCTGAAAACGGGGTTTTAAAGTCTATGATCAACGCCCAGCTACTTCGCCTCCTCGACGTAGTAGTCCTCGACTATGTGACGCTCCATGAATTTGCCCCATCGTTTCGGCGCCCTGGTGATGAAATCCTGAATGTCGGAATTTCGTTCGGATAAACAATGCTTTTTGCTGCGTTTGTTACGGTCGCATTACCGGGGGAGTTTATCGGGGGGGGGCGACCGAACTTTCTTTGTAGAAATGCCTAGTAACGTAAAAGAAAGTGTTTTATAAAATTCTTGGTCAAATATAACTACATTTCAAATAGAGAAATTATCTAAAAACTTTAAAAAGCCGAATTTTCGTTGAAAGTCGGCCATTTTCGGTCAAAAATCGGTTTTTTTTTGATATTTTGTAATACAAACTTGCAAATTTTTGGCTTTTAGGAAAAGCAAAAACGGTTTAGAAACACTTCCACTATGTATATTTGTAAAATTAGTTCCTAACTTATGATTCCTAAGAAAAAAGTTGTTTTCCCCCTTCCCCCCGATAATGCAAAAGAACCAAAATTGGCATCATGGAAAAGCGGTACTGATTATCGCGGCTACCTTGAAAAACGGGTGCGCGGCGGCCAGGTTGAGCATGTCGAGCGGGCTGAACTGATTGAGGATGGTCAGCCAGATGGGGAGCGGCATTTTCATGAACTGCTCGAGGGAGATGAGGGTGTCGGGGGGATTCTGGAAAGAGTGCGTCTGGGGGAATTACGGCAATCCGGGGTGAAAGACGCTTAGTCGAGACAGTACCTTTAGTTTAGGCTGAATACGTGTATGGCAATTCGGGCATGAGATGATCCCAGATTCGGCCGGTGGCGCCTCAACCTAAACCAAATTTTTTCCTGGCGGCCGCGCTTAACCTAATAATCAAAAATAAAGTGTTTTACATTGTCTTTGACAAGCTTTAACTATATTTAAGAGAAAACCATTCTAAAGGTGAACAATCTCTGAAAAGGGCAAAAAATTTGGCCATTTTGGCTCGAAAAAAATCAATTTTTAGCAGATTACGATAACACGATGGGGCAACAGATTCGGAATCAGCGCAAAATTCAGCACAAGCAAGGCGGAGCCCGCTCAAAACCGGGTTTTGTTCTCGAAAGTTCTATTTTGTTCGATCGGCCGAACTGTTATTTCGGATCAGTGGGCCAGGTCCTCGTCTTTCACCTTTCAGCAAAAGACGCATACCTGGCCCACTCATCGGTGCCAATTCGGTCCCACTAACGAACATCTGGACGGGGGTTTCCAAAACACCCCGGGGGGTTTTTAGGGGTATTTTGCTCCCCCCGGGGGGGGGGGGTTTCGGGGGATTTTCAAAGTCTACTTGTAAGTCCTCAAGGCAGAAGGAAACGAGAGATTGCGTATCGACAACGGCTGTTCAGGTAAAGAAACTAAAAAATACCGTTACGATCTCTGGTTTGCCGGGTGGGGTGGCAGCATCCTGCTTGGCCTGTGACGGCGCATTACAAGGGTTTGGCGAAGACGAGCAGGTTGGCGGAGCGATGACCACCTAAATATCCACCTACAATGTTCTGCGCTTTTTATCCATTTAAAATTCGGGCTAAAAACCAACCGCTTCCAGGGGCGGCTCATCGTTTTTGGGGCGCTTGAAGCAGTTGTAGATGGCGAGTACGATGGCCCGAAACATTCGGGAAGAGGACGCCCGTGGACGAGTAAAAATGCACGGCAAATGTTTTTTTGCCCGGTCAGTAATAGCTGAAGCAAATATTCTGGATTCAAATTTGTTTCAGCCATTCCATACCCAAACATACAGGAGCGCAATCTAATTCCATTCTCGCTCAATTGGGCAATGCTGATGCGGGGCGCACGTATTTAATCTTTATAAGTTTTTTGTGAATTTTTCATATTTAAGAACGGTGTAAAATTCTATTATTATAAAATGATTCATGTTTCATCGGCTCGGCTAACCGTATAAGGCCGGCGAATTGCCATTAGATGCACTCTACTTTTACCCAACCCACCCTAATCGGAGTCTTCGAGTTTAACTTCGTAACGCATTGAGCATCTTTATTTCGGACTCAGGGTGCCCTGGAAATTTTCTGAGCTCAATTTTGAGCTGTGGAAAATTTTCCTGGAGCCCCCAAAAACACCAGTACCATGGGAAAATACACAAAACCAAGAAAGGCGACGAAAATCTCAAGAAGAGGCCCAATATGAGCTACATTATGCGCCAAATTACGCCAAGGAATCTCAGAAATGACACACCAGATATCGGGGGATTTTGAAAGACGAATTGGTCAGGGAAAACACCTGTACAGGCGGGGTGAAGAACACATGATTAATATATGGAAGTAAGGCGTTGCAATGGATATGGCACGTAGTATATTTAATATCAAAAATTATGCTTTAGAGATTTAAGAATTATGCATTACGGTATCAATGTTGCAAAGTATACTGGACTAGTCGCTCAGCTTTGGAAAACAGTAAAAATATCTTTAAAAAAGTAGCTTTTTTCGGATCTCAAGAATTTGCAAATCTGATTTTGCATGTTGTTTAATCCTTAGAATCAATTTTAATTTTAAAATAAAATCGAAAGCTTCCCATATTTCATCCCAAATTTACGGTTCAAAGTCAAAAAATGTCAAAATTCAGCTTAAACAGCTTTGAAAATTTTTATAGGTATCATTTAAGGCAGTCGAATTAGGGCTTAATTTAAATGGCAGGTGCCATTAAAACAATTTTAATCGGCTTAGATTTTTAGAATTTAAAAATTAGAAATTAAGAAGTAGAAGTTTGACAAATCACAATTTTCTGATGGGCTGTGGAGGGGTGGCTGGAGCGGGAGATGGTGCTCCAGGGGTCGGGGTGACCACGGTAGCGGCGGGACGGAGGGCCGGACGTACTAATGGCGTCTCGGCCTCGGGCAGACCTCGATTCACTCGACCCAACCGGAAACGCTCGGCGTACGAGTTGGCCAGCGGGGCGACCCATCTAAAACTCCCCGATTATGCCGTTGAACTGGATTATTTTAGTGCGGTTAGTATGGAAATGGAATGGGTTCAATTTTTATGAATTGAAAACCTTCAAAAGGGGAATTGCTTAAAATTAAGTCTCAAAATGATCTGAGGTGCCTGGAAATTCACATGTTTTAGTATGGAAAAGGCATTTAATCGGATTTTATGAATTAAAATGTAAGCAGAGCGCCTTGCAAAAAATTTAATTTCAAATTTCGCCTGCAAACTTTGTAAAATTACTTTTTTCGAGTGCGGTTAATACGGAAACGAATTTTTGTTCGGTTTTCTCGGGCCCTTAAAGGTTAACGAAAACTCAAAATCCTGGTTTTTCATTTAGGAATTTTGATACGGTAATACCGTAATTTTGAGGCTAGTACAGGCTGCAACATGTTTTTAAAAACCGAATACGATTAGAAACAAACATTTCTTCGCTTAGCATTTTAGAACTTCTAAATTTCGATTTTTTTTTCCAGCGTTCAACTTTGATTGAATTGCCTAAAAATCAGAATGGTCGATTCTCTCGGGTTAATTTTTCGTATTGGAAAAATTAAAAAAACCTAGCTGAAGGCGCTAGCAAACAGGGAAAATCCAAAAATTCGAATAATAAGTTTTGGACTACAGCATCGGCTTGACACTTTTTTAGAATCCACAAATTTTAGGATTTTAATCGTGCCAGGGCTTAGGGGATAGGTGCATTGCATTAGCCAACTAAACGGAAAAAGTTACGTTAGCACAACTGAAAGAAATCAGGAGTGTAGCAGGTAGGGAGACAGATAGGAGCCGGGAGAAGCTGAACTAAAAAGCCGGGGGCAGGTCGGCGGGGAAGCTGAAAATAGGATAACCAAATAGGTAAGCTTCACACGCCATTTCTGGCTATCTCACTTGGCTGCCTGTTTGCCCTTTTGGATGCACAGGTCGTGGGAGATGGCCGAGAACACCTGGAAGTTCGGGTTAAATTGTATTGTCTCGGTTGATTGCCTTGTTAAATACGCTTAAAGATACCACACTTAAAATTCTATCACTTTCACATTTTATTGCTGATTTTTGGGTTACTCTAAAGGTCCAGACAGGGCTAGCCTATGCATTCCGCTGGCTATGGATTTCCTATGGATTTTTTGTCAGACACGTAATTAAGCGAGGTTTCTTTCAAATGTCGAAAATCATAGTGTCGAAAAGCACATTATTGAAGTCCATGATTGTAAAACCCGAAAGAAAGTCGAAACTATACGCAACGCGTACGTTTTTCCCATTTTGCTGCGTAATGGAATAGGGTATTGCTTATGCCGCGTACGGCGCGTGCGTCGCGTATCGCCACCGCGGCATCCATAGGAATTCCAGGTCACGCCTGTTCCTTGAAAATTGCCGCCCGACCGCACGAGGGCAAACTAGCAAATCGGCTTGGGGAATAAGGTCGAGAATTCGTTGGGTTTTAGAAAAAGTATTTTCTCCATTGTGCTGGTCTAGTCAAAGCTACCGTAAAGTCTAAAAAAGCTATCAGAGCTAGCCTCATTTCTATCATCTACGTCTTAAGTTCAATATGATACCTTCGGCAACCATCGACACAACGCGTTCAGCGTCTCCTCATAGATATCCTCGATCGCTGTCGCGTTATTGCCCCTCAGGTTCTCGGTCGAGATCTGGTTTGTCGAGACCGGGGCCACCTAAGAAAATCCGTAATGTCATATAGAAAAAGTAGTTTGTTAACGGCAAAGTAACAGAAACTTTACAAAACTTACCGCTGGGCTAGGTGCGGGCCTCGCCACCGGAATTTTGTCGACACCTCCAAAAGTGAGGACTGGGGGAAGAGTGGCCTGCTTGGGGCGGACCTGGTAGAAAAAGGGTTTTTCGGTTATAAGTTCTTTCACGTTCTGTGTCTCTATCGCTCTCTCTATCTCTGTCTCTCGCTCTATTTTTCTCTAATAATAATTCGATACCTTCTGCCACCACGGTTCTTCAGTCGCAGCACTAGCCAGTGGCCACCACCTTGGAATCTTGGCGGTTGTGGTAGGTGGTGGGGCTAAAATGCCGATTTATTGCTTGTGCCGCCTTCCCAAGAATTCAAGAAGCTCTGCTAGCCTGCCATGACCCTCGTAACACTTACTGGTCGTCGTCGCTTCAGTCGTCGTCGTTACATAGGGAGTCCATTTTTGTGTCGTCATAGTTTGCGGTCTCGGCGTCGTGGTAGTCGTTGTCGTCGTCTTGATCGTCTGGTAGATCGGTCGCGAGGATGAGCTTGGCTGCAATTAGGAATTGAATCTCTTGCTCTCTCTCTCTCTCTCTCTCTCTCTCTCTCTCTCTCGCTCTCTCTGTCTCTCTACTTCAAAACCAACAGCAATAGGTCTCTGCGTAGTCGTAGTGCTGGTCGTAGTGCTTGGTGTAGTGCTCGTGGTCGTGCTAGGCGTGGTTGTGGTCGTTGTACTGCTCGGAGTCGTAGACTTCTCCGTGGTGGTGGTAGTGCTTGGTGGAGCGAACTTTCGGGTTGACATGAATTGCTGAAAAGTTATGTTTCCCTGCTGGTGTCGTACATTGCATGCCAAATTACGGGGAAAAAAATTGCTTACCCTGCGCTTCAGAAGTTCGGTGGGGCTGCCAGGGCGGAATTGCGAGGCAAGTTGGGGGGTTGGTGGGACGCCTTCGGGGAGGCCGAGATCCTAGAAAATTAATAGTGCACGAAAAGGGACCACGAGGTTCTCTCTCGCATTCTCTCTTGCTCTCATTTTCTAGCTCTTTCTCTCTCTCTCTCTCCCCTCGTACCTTCTTCGAGAAGAATCGATTGTGGAACCCAAATGGAACATTTATCGGCACGTACGCTCGTCCGATTTCCGACATTGTCGTGGCATCCAGGACCAGCAACACACCTATGACCCCAGTTTTACAAAATGAACGATATCATACCTTTATTCTCATGCAAATCGAGAGCTCTGACTAGCAAAACCCCGTCGTCCTCCCTTCTGGAGTCTGGCCTCGCCACGAACCACGGTTCGTGAAGCACAAGAGAGCTTTCGGCCTTGTACTCGACGTTTCGCTGCCCGGATGGGTCGTCGACGTTGATCTAACGAGTTTGAGAGGTAAGTAGGGTAAACGAATTAATGATAAAACTATGAGAGTCACCAACACAAACCTTGATAATCTTGTTATCAGCAGCAAACGGATGCTCGACGATCCAGCTCCATTGATAGGCCCGCGCCTCGTAGCCGCGGTTGATTTGCGGGAAATCGGCGGAGATGGTTTCCTAAAAAGACCACAGACTACCGTATCGCCTCTCCGTAAGTAATTTTAGTAGTCGTTTCTGCAGCTTAATTTTAGGAATTACCTGCGGGATCAAGTACGAGTACATGACGCGGTGCTGCTTGACGTCGAGGGTGAATCGGAGAATTCTGGCGGTGGACGGGTAGAGCTGAGAGGTGAGGAAATCCGTGTAGAAGTACTTGACGTAGGGGTCGTGGCTGTCGTAGACGACCTAAAAATATATGGAATTGTTCGTCTCTCCCGCTCTCTCGCTCGCTCTCTCACTCTTTCTCTCTCTCACTCTCTCTCTCTCTCTCTCTCTCTCTCTCTATTACCATGTCAGCAACGATATTCCCCTCCGGGCTGTCAAAAGCGTTGAGTTGATGGGTGACGAACATGGAGGGAAATACTTCAAGCGGCTTTGGCGTCACCCATTCTTTTGTCTTCTTGTTGAACACCAAGAATCTGCAATGAAGCAATAAATATAGAAAAACAAAATTAAATTAAAGATGCTTTTTTTAGTAGTTAATAAAGGTTATGGTGTATTTATGTATGTTCGGATGGCTTACCTCATCGGTACCATATCATAGAAATCCATGCCCCAGAGGCCTCCATTCTGGATCGCCGAGCGAGGGTTGGTCATTGGGGGTTCCTGAAATTTGACAGTAGCTTGATCATGTCATCGTAACATCGTTTAAACGCCTTTTCGCATTTGCCCCGCTCTATAAGATTTGAATATAACGTATTTCCTGGCATTTATCACTTTTTTTATGGGAGGTGTTCCTCGATATCGGCTGTTAGTTCACGTTCAATTCCTTCCGACATCTTTTACTCCTTGATCGTGATCTTTCTGCTTTCCGTACTTTCCTCCAGCTTCGGCAAATTGTTATTGGCGGCCGACAACTTTGGGTATGTGTTAGGGCCACCCGAAAAGGGCCAACGGACCAAGTATGTGATGGACCATATTTGATTGTTTGCCGAGGTATTGTCTGTCTCTGGCTGAACCGCTACCACCACACCGTTCCCCGGGTTTGTATTGTGCACATCTGGGTGAAGTGAGGGAGAGCGAGATAGAGAGAGAGAGAGAGAGAGAGAGTGAGAGGGAGAGATAGAGAAGGAGAGAGATCTGCAGGCAGCAACAAACAGCAGATTGAATACGACTACCGGGTGAAAGTTTTTCGGGGGCCGGACAATCTGCGCACTTCGCAACAGAAATACAGTCGAGTGGTGTGGGCCACAGGGTCGCAAGGTTCACAATGAGTTTTATCGGTATTTTGTTTGTTTCGATTCTATTCTAAGGAAGTTATTGATTGTTTTCCGGATCTATAGTGATTTTGTGATAATTTTTCATGAGTTTTTTAAGGAATTTGAAATACTAGTATCCATATTTTAAGCCTAGTGCAAAAAAGAGCTCAATTTGCTCAATTTGCAACGTTCGAAAACGCCTTTTTCAGACAAGTCAAATGGCCAATTTGTAGGCCCTAGCTAGTCTGGTGTTGACGGCCAAGAAAAAGGTTCAGGTTGCACACGCATGCGCGAAATTGCGCGCAAAGAAAGGCCAAGAGCGTTTGGAAGAGCAGTACGGAATAAAGGGCTATTTTAAGGCTCTTTTTAGGGTATGATCGTATAACTTGAAAGAACGCTGCAAAAACCGTGTCTATAGCAAACAGTCCATAAAACAGCCTGGAAAAATTGATGTAAACTGCAGCAAAAGCCCGTCTTAATTTGATCAGCTTCTACCTTGAGATATACTACTGCTATGCGCATTATTGACACCAGCGAAAAATCGAGCAACTCACCTTGAACTTGCACGGGTTGATGAGTAGCGACGTGATCGGTAAAATGATGTACTTTTCGGTGGAGGTGATTGAGTGAACATAGCCGGGGAGGAGCGTCTTGTCGCCTAAAATATATTGTCCAATTTTGGCGATAAAATCGATCAAAAGCGATAGGTTAAACGCAGAAAAGACGGTTGCATGACGCACCAATATACTCATCATCCCTCCCGCAAGCGTTCTGATCCCAAACCCCGTAATCGTACAGCCCAACCACCCTTCTCACGCCATTTTTGTCGACGGTGAAGATGCCCTAAAATTTGATTGGACTTTCGCTTGACTTGCGAACTTCTGCGAGAACTGAAGCTGCTGAAACTCAAACTGAAGCTAACTTACCTGGAAGAACCGCTGCTCATTGAAGTTCATCGCGGAAAATGTGCCCCAGATCGTGCCATCGGCATCGTTTCTGAATTTTGAGGCGTTGATTTTGTATAGCAGCCAGAGAGGGGGAGAGCGAGAGAGTGGCAAGGGAGAGAAAGAGAGATAGAGAGAGAAGGAGAGAGAGAAAGAGCAAGGCAGAAAGGGATGGCGAGAGAGAGCTAGAGAGATAGAGCGAGAGAGTGAGAGAGAGTGAAAGAGAGCGAAAGCGAGTATCACTTCGCCGTGCGATTCTTCGTTACAGGGACTATGTATAAAGTGCCAAATCAGCCTCCACGGTCGACTAGATCTTGACAGCTACAGCGCAAACGGCTCAAACCTGACAAAATTGAGCGCCGATCCGTTTTTTGGAGTGGCACGGAGCCGTCAGAGTACGCTTTTCCATTTCCATTTCCTTTAAGTGCATTGCTCACCTCTCATGAATAGCCATCGAAATCGGGATCATCGAAGGCCTGGGCTCTCCGAAAATATCGTTCTCCTCGGTGAACGGGAACAATTGGAATTTGTTGAGAGTCTTGACATCAAACTCGTAGCCGACCCAGTAGGGCGCTTCAGTACCGGCAATCACCCGGTTTCCAATCTTCCAGAAATCGAGATTCGGGTGGAATCGGGCCGAGTCGGGGTTCGAGGGGACCTGGAAGAGACGTGTATTTGAGTCTTGAAAAATTCAAGGCAGTGAAAGACCCAAGAAAGCTATAAAATCTACCCTTTCGGGCGACCAGCCACTACCTTACAGTCCAAGCTACAAATGGCTGCGAGACCTAGCGCCGGAAAGGGGGGATGTGAGTGCTTTATAGTCTATTTAAACCCAGAATTACCTGCTCCCATCTCGCCATGGCAGTCAAGTTATAGTCCGACCAGCCGGCCCACGGGATCGAGGACTGAAACTCAGTTTTTAGGGTTTTCTTTGCTTGCGTTAATTTACAGGAATTTTTACGGTTGATGGCTACCGATCACGATATTTATATCTGTCCAGCCGTTTCGTAAACCCACTTAAAACATCAAAAGCTTACCTTTGACATATTTCGGTCGTAGAACTCCCAAATTTTGTAAGGTCTCGCTGGGTAGTACTGGGCGGAGAAGACGACCTGAAAAAACATAAATTGGTTTTTGGAGGTTTATTGATTACGCCATGAAATGCAACTTTTTTAGACAATTTTTCAATTGAGTTGCTGGCCTTTCAAAAAGACTGAAATGAAGGTTTCGGAAAAGTTTTCCGCTCTCTATCCCTCTTTCTTTCTCTCTCTCTCTCTCTCTCTCTCTCTCTCTCTCTCTCTCTCTTTCTTTATTTCCTTCTTTCTTCCTCTTTATCGTTTGCTCTATCTGGCTCACACTCTGGCTCTGCTCCCGCTTTGTTTCTCTCACGCTCCGCTCTCTTTTGCTCACTCTCCGGCTCATTCTCACGCTCGCTCTTTGACTCTGGCTCTGTCTCTGGCACGCTATAACTCACTCTGCCTCTTTGGCTTTCAATATAGCTCTCTCTCTCTCTCTTTCTCTCTCTCACTATCGCTTGAGATTACCCAAAATTACCCACCTGCCCATTACTGATATGAAACGAGGCAACGGCCCCAATAGCATCAATCATATGGTTGAGACGCTGGCCAGGCGGAGCCGACGAATTACCGTAGCTGGCCGATAATTGGCATAGAAAATATCCGTCGAGCCACTTGGGAATATTCTTGGACGGACAATACAGTTCCCGATACTTATCCCCATCCCACGTCTCCGGGAATCCGAGGTGCACCTTGTTGATCGACTGCCCACAAACGGCTGCTATTAATGCACACGCCAGCCACAATTCTCGCATTTTTGCTGGCTGAAAGAAGACGGAATTGGATGGGATTTATAGAGTTGAAAGCAGAATACGTGAAGTTAAGGAGTCGAGTATAAAAACCAGCTTTTCCGAGTCAGAGTAAAAAATATGGAGTTTTTTAATTAGCTAACTCCCTGCCAGTATCTAAAACGACTTTAAGCGCGCATTAATGGTTGGTATGCTAAAAAAGTGGTAGTTTAACGATAATGTAATTATTTTGCTTTAAAGGGATATTGCAACAAGAGCTTCTCCAAGCGCAGTTTCGGGAGACCGATAGCCCCTAATTTTAATGAAAAAAAAGGAGTTCATAGATCCTTAGCAAAATTGGGGTTTGTTCCAGCTCCAAACGTCTAAAGAATCGTCACTTTGCTAGTTTTTCGAAGCCGGTAGGTTTAGCTCAAAAATTTACATGCCTAGAACTCCCTATAACGTAGAAGCTCAAAAACCGGAAATGGTAAAATGTTTCAAAATTTTAGATGAAATGGTGCCGAGACTACATTATTTCCTGTAAACGGACGACTCCGGACCACGTCAAGAAGTGCACATCGTAAGGGAAATCAAGATTCAAGCGGAGCTCTCAAGGTTACGGTAGCCTAATAGGAAGATAAAAATCTAAAATACGGTTAGAAGAATTTAGTCAATTTCCAGGAAACCAGGCGAATAGCCGTATTAACAGGTAAGGTGAGGTGCGAAAAAATATACTGAAGAAGACAGACTACATAATTTCCAGGAAACCAAAAGGTGGCGTGGCCCATTGTTGGGAGAATGGGTTTGGCTGATTGTATGACCCGGTCTAGGGGTCGCGCATTCAGAAAGGCGTGGCTCCCCTTCCCGGGGGACCGTCCATAGTTGTGTGTGGTTGCGGAGGGCTTTGTGGCCCACGGGGACCCGGGATTACCCCCCAGAGGCGAGCGTCCCCGCTAGAAACAGACTGACCCATCCCGTAGGGGTTTTCCGAGACTGTCTCTGACTGAGATAGAGAGAGAGAGAGAGAGAGAGAGAGAGAGAGAGAGGAAGAGAGGGCGAGAGCGAGAGAATGAAAACGAGATTGACAGTCTCGGAAAACCCGGGGATTTCCTATTTTGGAAGGGCTTACGGTGGCCCGAAAAAACCGTACCCCCGCAAATCGTACACTATCGGACCCGGGAATGGAAAGCGCAACAAAGCCTTTGTTCACGGATTTGGTGGCCGGCAAAAAAGAGGTGTGACTAGGGCTGAGGTTACGGTAGGTGGTGTGCGGGATACCATTCCGTGGCTCTGCGGCGGTTATTATTGATATTAGAGTTTGAGCTCGAGAGCGGATGAGAGATATAGAGAGTGAGAGACAGCGAGAGACAGATAGACAGAAAAAGCACTGTAATTTCGTCAACTCTCATTATCAAGCAATACCTCCGAGATCGCAAGATCATTTCCTACATTGATGGTAGGGGCTATCGGAGGGCTGACTAGCAGAGTTTCTTGAGGATTCATTATGTTCAAAATAAATCATGCAAGCGTACAAAGTTTCGTCGAAGATTTTTGCCATTAGCCGTGATCCTATAACTATGTACAAAACAAGCTGTACTTCTCACGCCACCTTACGCATTCCAACACTTCTCCTGAACACCCAGCTCGTCCCCCTCCCTCCTCAATTCCATTGTTTCCGAATGTGTCCCCCTGATTCCAGACCGTTTTGTGCCCCCCCGAGAGGGAGTGGGGGATTCAAATCTTCAGGGGTCGAGGGAAGAAGCTCCCGGGGCTTGGGACTAGCCGAGGGGGGCTCCCTGACCGCGTGACCATCTAAGCCCCAGGGCAAACTCAAGGAAAGGAGGAGTAGGGCGGATGCTGCTTCTTCACTATCTTCAGGTCTCGCTCGAGCCCCACACCGGTTCTGATGAAAACAGGGGGTAGGGGGAATTTCGGGGGTGAAGTTTGGAGGTGTGGCGGACTGGTTATTTAATTGTCATCATCTACTGTAGATTAGAGATGTTTTTATTCAGATACGATATAGGAAATTTTGCATTTATGGCAATTTGCATATCGTATCTAGATTCAAGCCGGGGCAATCGAGATACGATTATCGCATCTGGGATCGGCGAGGCTCAACCCAGATACGATATATCGAAATAACATTTGCATATCGGAATAAGCAGAAAATCCGTCATTCCCGTGAATACTTACTCCGTACGGTCTGCCTGCATAAAAAAGCATAGGGTTAGGCGTTTCCGAGAAAGATCATTCGATTTGCATCCATTTTATCGCCTACCAAGCGCCCTAATTTCCCTTAATCCGATATGCAAAAGTTATTCCGATAGTATCGTATCTCGGTAGGTCGGATTCCAATTCAGATACGATTATCTATATCACATCTAGGATTTTTCTATTCCGATGGCTTATTCAGATGCGATATATCTGGATGCATATCGTATCTGAATAAAAACATCTCTACTGTAGATTACCTTAACGTACGGAAATTCGGTGCTTGTAGAGAATTGTCGATTGTTTCCTTTTTTCTCACTTACCGTTAATAACACAAGTTTTGAAAACTTTCGTGGAAGGTTTTTGCCCTCGCGGTGGACATTACGTCTCTGTCCAAAACTCAAAACTGTACCCCTCACTTCACCTTACACATGCCGAAACTTCGTCCGGACGCACCTTCGCCCCCTCCCTTGCCTAGTCGCCATAGGAACGCGATTCAATTGCTTCCCCGTCCCTTTAGTTCTAGGATTGTGGTCTTTAATTTATGCCCATTGCTGTACATCAGTCCTGGACTGTCTAGATCTAGTCGAGAGACGGTGCCGATTTTCCGATTTCAGAAAATGGGTTCAACTTGCTGTATCAAAGCGTTGATTTTAGATACACCTCAATCACAAGTGCCTCATCTTTATCGCAGAAACAACCAGTTTGTCTTCGAAAAGATGAAGCGAGATCATATTTGATGGGATGGTGGAGAAACCGGTGGAAGAAAAAGGGCGGGCTTCTCAAATCAAAATCTGCGGGATGGAGGGCAAGATAATCGGGACAGTTCGAGGAAAGAGAGAAAATTAGAAAAAACCACAAAAAATTGGTAAAGTAGGCAATACGGTGGTATAGGGTTTTGACGGGCTGCTGGCTGGATATTTGTCCTTTTTCGTGGTGTGGTGATGTGCTTCTACTGCTACCGGCCTCGGCTTACATGGCGTTGCGCTTGCCGAATCTGGAAGTAAATTCCTCATTTGCGGTTTCCAAAGCGTCATTCTTGGATGTTGTCGTTCAAATCGCAAATTTTATCTCTCTCTCTCTCTCTTGCTTTCTCGCTTTCTCGCTTTGTCTCGCTCCTCTGTGTCTCTCTCTCCCTGTCTCTCTGTTTCTTTAGCTTGCTCTCCTTCATTCTCTCTCTCTCGCTCGATCTCCCGCTCTCTCTCACTCTCTCTCTCGATAGTTAAGAAGCCGCTCATGCTTACCGAACCATGCTCGATCGATCCATCGGCGCTCTCTTTCCAAAACGCACCATGGATGATCGGTCCATCGGGGCTCGCTTTCCGAATCTGAACCATTTCTACATTATTTTTATAAGAAATTCGCTAATTGCTGCAAATTTCCTAAAGGATCCCTGCTAACAAATTAAAAAAAGGGTCTTGAAATGTAAATGAGTCCTATTGCAATATGCCAGAAAATCAAAGGCGCTAGGGTCAACCCTAAGTTTTGTCCGCGTTCTGTAATATTGTAAAAATTACGCTGATCCATGCCATCAATTCTTGGAAAACTGCGCCCTCGCTAGACCCTTGAGCCTGCCCTGAACGATCGTGCATAATTTTTCCTCGAGCAAATATTTTTCCTAACCGACCCCCAGAAAATCCTATTAGGAATTTCAGGAAAACCCGAACAAAATATCGGCACATTCAGCGAATATGCAATTTTTTTGGCGCGGAAATGGAATTTACTTCTCGCGTTTCCGGCGCTGACAATTAGATCGGTCAAGCGTGGCAAATTGAGCTGGCGGAAATTCGTTAGCTGGGCTAGTGAAGCGCTACGTTAGAATTTAATAATGAGGTCTGAGGAACGTTAAGGTAGCTTTTTAGCGTTGTTTCGGCTACTTCCTGTTTGCAATATGAAAATAAAAAATAAATGAAAATTAAATCGGCATGAAATTACTTACCTAACCATGCTCGATCGGTCCATCGGTGCTCGCTTGCCGAATCTGAAATAAAAATTCATTACTTTCTCGGGCCTATCTTTACGTGGAGTGAGTGAGAGAAAGAGCGAGATAGAGCGAGATAGAGAGAGTGAGAGACAGAAAGAAAGCAACTTGAAATTACTTACCGGACCATGCTCGATCGATCCATCGGCGCCCTCTTGCCAAAACGCACCATTGAGGAACGGTCCATCGGAGCTCGTTTGCCGAAACTGAAGAATTTTGTAAAAGTTTTCTCTCTGCGACGCTGTCTTTCGTTTTCTCTCTCCTGTTCGCTTTCTCCCTCTCTCTGTCTCTCTCACCCTCACTCTTTCCCTCCCTAGCTCCCGTTATTGCATAGTGTTAAAAGACCCACCGAACCATGCTCGATCGGTCCATCGGCGCTCGCTTTTCCATCGAGTAGCTAAAATCTCAATTATCAAGATTCAATCTTAACTTTTTACAAAGTGAATAGTTATTTGAAAAACCTACGCTTCCTCCATCGGTGCCTCCATCGCCTCGTTTTGTGCGTTTATTTCTTCGAGGATAGCGCTGGAAAAGAAGATTCAGATTCAGATTCAAAAATCAGCGTCAGTCATTCAGTTTTGATCATTTTTAATGTGACTAGTTTTCCAACTCTTGCCAAACCATACATTGCCTCCCCATTGTCCTCCTCTTGTGCGTAGACCAGGGCCCCGGAGCAGCCGAGCACGAACAGCCAGTAAAGAGGCTGCATTCCCGCGAGTGAGTCGAGTCTGCAGAAAATACTTTAGAATGTAAGGGGGATGTAAGAAGACAAAAACCGAGAGAAGGAATTCGAAAAACTTGCAAGGCTTGAAAATATAAAAATAAGTGGGGCCGA